CTGAGAGAGTGCCAGGAGAAAACCCTAAGGCCAAAACCAATTTCACGTGACAATGTAATGACTCAACACGGGCTTTATCGTAAAAGAAACAAATAGAAGGGACTTGGTTGGTGAACGCCAGCTGGGCGCTGTCCAGGCTCTGTAGAGGGGAATCTGCTTTTGGAGCAGGAATACCGAGCAGGGCATGACTTTAAGGTCAGTGTGTCAACTGTGAGGAGAAAACCCTAAGGCCAAAACCAATTTCACGTGACAATGTAATGACTCAACACGGGCTTTATCGTAAAAGAAACAAATAGAAGGGACTTGGTTGGTGAACGCCAGCTGGGCGCTGTCCAGGCTCTGTAGAGGGGAATCTGCTTTTGGAGCAGGAATACCGAGCAGGGCATGACTTTAAGGTCAGTGTGTCAACTGTGAGTAGAAACACAAAATCCCAAATTCACCTCTTTCACTGCAAACTGAGTTAGCTATTATTTACTGGAGAAGTCAGTGAATTGGGTTCCCAATAAAGGGTAAAGGACAGCGGTGAAAATATAGACTTGTGCTTCCAGCCAGGGTAAAGTTACAGGGGCCGGATGTACTCTTTGGCCAAAAGAGATTTTTTTAAAAATCGCAAAACAATACTTTTGAGACTTTGGAAAGAGGCAGGGCTGTGATGCCCCGAGTGGAGGACACGGGAGTCTAGAGCAGCTCCACCTCACTGCAGCCCAAATAGAACCTGCGGGGGCTGCTGAGCTGAGTCAGGGAGAGAGGTGGGAGGTTAAGGCAGTGAGTGACCTGTCTAGGGCAGACGGCAGGGAGAGAGGGCGCTGGGGCCCTTCAGGGGTCGCCTTCAGAGGCTGAGCACTGCCCAAAGCCCAGGAAAGAAACACTAGACAGGAGGAGGCAGAAGAATTTCCGGCCCCAGCAGCCACAAATAGAAATAGCACCTGAGCCCAGAGGTCAGAGCGGAAAGTCACATGCTGTAAGGGACACTGAACAGGATCCTCAGAGCCGGCAGGAGGTTGCTCTGGGTACACCCAGGGGGAGGCCAGTTCTGAGTGAATCCAGCGAATCCAGCGACTGTCCAGGAACTTTAGTGTACAACAGAACGACTCTAACACCCTCTAAAGCAATGCAGTAAATCTAGCGTTCAGCGTAAACATCTACACCACGCAGCACCTACTCAAGCTTTCCTCACAGCAGCCTGCCGGGCCGCCAGAGTTACTTTTGCTCTTCTTTTTGGCCTAAGCTCACTCTGCAGAGCCAGTCTCTCCCTCACTTTCCATGTTTACTTTTTTAAATGGACTTTGGCACCATTTACTACCACTACTACTACTACTAATAATAATGATGTGATCTGTAATTAGGACAGAAACAAAATCAACAGCATAAAACCAAAAGTGGGAGAGAAGATGGATTTGGAAAACAGCTATTATGAATGTGCCCCATCTGTTCAAGACAGCAGAGAAAAATAGAAGGATTGAGAGAGAAATGGAAAATACAGAAAACAAAAACTCAGTAGATCTGCTGCTAGAGATGGAAAAACCAACCATGGGAAAAGATTGATATTCTGACCAAACACCACCAGATCAGACTGCGGGAGAAAGTGGAGAAGGCGAAGTCAGCACGGGACACAATGTCCAGTGGGACAGAGGAACACGAAGGGTGACACGAACGGGACACGTCCACGGGACACTAGCAAACAGTCCTAGGAGCGGTGAGAGGGAAAACCAGAAAACAGTACTGATCAATCAGTAGCTGAAATGCTTCCAAATCTGATGAAAGATACAAACCCAGAGACACAAGAAACTCAGTGAATCTCAAGCACAATAAAGAGGCCAGGCCAGGGCACATCCTAACTTAATTTCTGTGAATCAGTAATAAAGAAAAACTCCTTGTTAGAAGCCTGAGAGTAAGCCAGGTGGGGTGGTGACTGTAATCCCAGCACTAGGGAGGCCGAGGTAGGAGGATCACCTGAGTGCAGGAGTCGGAGCTCAGCCATCTGTTTCCAGACCGAGTAAGTAAAACTGAGCACTCCTTCCACTCTGCTTTAAACGCACACAGATTCATGCCTGCTTGGAGAGACTTCAGTCCTTACCCTTTCAGTTCATTCACAATGGAAGTGTGAACCCGCATCGCAATCCTGCCATCCAGCTCTGCTTTGAGCTCTTGGCATTTGGCACGAAAGCTCTCTAGCTGCTCCTTGTTTTCCACCAGCTCCTTTTCCTGGGTCTGTGTTTGTGCCTCCAGGAGCATGAGCTGTCTAGTCAGCCTAGAAACTGAAAAGTAAAAGAGAAGGACAAGGACTTGGCACAGAACACTTAGTCAAACCTGGGTACCCGATTACGGGGAGGTAGAGTCAGCTGAAACAGTGATCTTTAAGAAATTCTTGCCAGGCCTGGTGGCACACGCCTGTGATCCCAGCATGCAGGAGACTGAGGCAGGAGGATCACTGTCAGTTTCAGGCCAGCCAGGGCTACATAGTGAGCTCAAGCTTAGCCTAAATTACATACTGATATCCTGTCTCAAAAGCAAAAACAAAAGGAACAAAACATAAACATCAATCATTTGGAATGTTATAAATTAATACCAGAGCCCTGCACATAGAAATGGCTTTCCCTGTAATCAGCATTCACTAAGCATACAACAAGCCCTCCATACCTGTGGGTTCTATATCAGTGGATTCAACCCACCATGTAAGGAAAATATTTGGGGAAAGAAAACTGCATTTGCACTGAACCTATACAGATCTCCCTGTCACCACGTCGCACATAACACAGTGTGACAACCACTGAGGCAGCGATTACACTGTGAGGCAGTGTAAGTAACCTGGGGGTGATTTAAAGTGTGCAGGAGGTGGGTGTGATCTGACACTGTTTTATACAGGGACAGAAAACCTGTGTACAAGCTGAATGCTTCTACTTATTTCTACTCTTTCAACAAACATTTGAGAAGACAACCCTGTTCTATTTGAAAGTTCACCTCCAGTGTCTTCTCCTCTTTCCAAAGCACTGCTTTACCCCAAGACCAGTTCTGCTGCATCTGCCATCTAGGACTAATGCACAAAACACAAAGAATGGCTGGGAGACAGGAGGAGTCAGTCTGAGGAAGCAATCCCTGCAGCAAGGGAGCTAATGGCTAGAAGGCGGCATGAAGCTGAATTCGGTTAAAGAAGACCTGAGCCATGCACTGTCAGAGACACAGCAGTGATATCACTCACCCTCTTGGAGATGCTCCTGCTGGGTGTCCTTGGCTTTCCTTCGCTGAATCTCCAGCTGCTCTAGCAACAACTTATTTTCCTCTAAAACGAGTTTTGCTTGAGTCTGAAGCTGATGCCTGCAAATGACTTACAGAATTAAATCCTGCATCCTGGTACTGAGTGATACAGAAACACCCGGGAGTCCACAAGAACCCAACAAAGTAATGTAGGCAGTGGCTACCTGGACCCGTTTCACACGTAACAGACATATGAGTAACAGAGCAAACCCTGCCATGTGCGTCAGAGGAGGGGAAGGACACAGAAGAGTCTGAGTTAGGGAAGCTTCAGTGCCATTTTTCTGGCGGTGTTGTTTTGGTTTTGAAACTGGAGGTCGAGCCCAGGACCTCGCACATGCTGAACAGAGCTCCCATGTACACCTCAAGCCCTCTGGCAACTTTCTAAAATGTAAAATCCCAGGCTGAGGGTGGAACTCCGAGGCAGAGTGCTCCCTTAGAATGTGGGAGGCCCTGGGTCTGACCTCCAGCACAAACAAATAAACAAAGACCACTGAAGACACAAAACTTCAAAGATGTACAGGAGAGAACAGGACAGTAAACTCCTGTATACATAATATTCAGCTGACGCAGTCCTCAAAGGGCTGATCTTCTTCCATCCATGTAAACTGTCATTCCCCATACACACTGGATTATTTCAGGGCACGTATGGAATTTGTAAAGAATTTAGAAAAGTTCCCACTTAATTAAAAAGCTCTGGTTTGTCATCAGCAGCACATTCGCTGGGCAATACTGTCAGAGAGCTTTAAGGCCTTGGAGAGCCGCTCCGGGCCAGCCTGGCGCCAACTTCCCAGGAGCAGCCCTGTCCTCTGCTGGGTGGGATGAACCCTCGCCCTGCTCAGCCTGCACCACCACAAACGCCAAGCGGGATGAGCTGAGGGGACCTGAGAAACTGTCCACTGATGGGCTGCCTCAACTTTCTCCCTTCAGCTCCAAATCCAGGGGGACGAAGGAGAAAAGCAAGATGAGAGGAGCGGGCTGTAACGACGGCCTCACAGAGACAGTGGCTGTACTCTGTGCAGTGTCGCTACCCGTGATCTGCACGCAGGGCCGCCACTGCCTCCTCACTGCTGAGTTTTGGACTCGAGCTGCAGAGCAGGAGTTGGTGGAGAATCCGCTGGACCTAAACAGACAGTGGCTACTGAACTGTGAAGTCTGTGTGCCGGACTCAGTGTCCAAGTCCAGTAACCGCACACCTGCCAGGTACGGGGAGCGGCCAGGAGGCTCGGCGGGCTTCCCGGGGCCACGGAGCTCAGGGACCCCTAGCTCACCTCTTCTGCCCAGACCACTGAGCTGGGGCTGAGGGTCAAGTTTGAATCTCGGCATCCCAGCATTGGGGAATTAGGCAGGGCTGGGGATTCATCTACTGATTTGTTTTTGAATTTTATTTATGGAAACACAAAGGGGCCTGACTCCTGGCTATCAACAAGGTTAGAGGAAGAACCGGAGACAGATTGCCAAGGCAGCCCTTGCAGGCCTGTGAGACTTCGTCTAACTGAGCCCCTTTCCCCGGCACTGTTCATGGAGGACACAAGGGGACACTGACTGGGAAACCTGTTGGGAGAAAAAGCCAGGCTCAGCTGGAGAAGACTCACACCCCTCAAACTCAGAGAGAACTTCAATGCCAATTCGGAGATTTTACTAGGATCTCACTGTACCTTATTAATTGCTTAGAGATTCTCCCTTAAAATGCATCAGTTAGAAAGAGATAATGTCAGGGGGGAGTGGTGGAGGGGCAAGCTTGTAATCCCAGCACTCTGGGAGGCTGAGACAGGAGAATCACTAGCTTGAGTCCAGCATAGGTAACACAGTGAGACCATGCCTCAAAATTAAAAAAAAATAAATAAATGAAAAGGGCTTGGAATGTACCTCAGTGCAAAGGCCCTGGGTTTAATCCCCAGTCTCACACACACACACACACACAGGCAAAGTATTTCATGATTTCTTAAAGTTCGTTCCTATTATCAGTATTTTAAGTTAGCAGAGTATCAGAAACACAACACCACTTGCCATTCCTCACTGGTAACAGGACTACTCTTATTTAATTCCTGGTGCAATTCTTCATTTTCTTTCACCACTTCTTGGACTCGCATCCTAAACATTCTCATTTCTTCCTGAAATAAAAGTGACGTAAACTGTAACACGGGCATCCACACACGGCTCGAGATCTCAGCTCTAGTGATGTCGCTGTGCTCAGATTCAATGCTGGCAGCCAGCGGGCAGAGTCTCGGCCTTGCACCAACCCTGCACTCGGTGCTGCTGTGCTGTGCCTGTCCATGGGAGCTCACAGGCGACGACAGCCAGGGACCCGAGCCTAGAGCACAGGGACAGAGTACCTGTGTGTAATCACGCCATTCCCATTTGGTAACTTTTTTTGTTATGAGCCAATACTTGAAAAATGAGAGTGTTTTAGAAAGAAAGCAGAGCTGTCCATAAGTACTACAGTTTTTGGTTTGAGGACTCCGGAGGATAAATGATGTTTTCTATGTAATGAGGAAGAACTTTGCATCCTCCGTGGAAGTCTGTTTGGGTGGGGAAAGGGTGAGTGCAGGGACTGGGAGACGCTGTTCCTTGCCAAAGGGGAGAAGCTGCTCTCCTTAGACACCACTCCCTGCCCTTTCGTCAGCTCTGAGCCCTCAAGGAGCAAAGTCTGTGACTCGCTCCCAGGTTGACTTGTAATGATCTGTGTTGCCCCCTTCTCAGCCAGCACTGGCCTGGCTTCGGCATCCTGTGCTCTCCTTCCAGGAGAATCTTAGGTGCCAATACTTGAGTTTTTGAAATATTCTCCCAGCCATGAAGACATTTATGCTATACCTGATCATCTTCAAGCAGCGTTGCCAAGTAACTTCCCTCTTCTCACCTGCTACCCAGACAACCTCACTGGTTGTTGGCAGCTCACCTGACTGTTTCTAGGACAGATTCAGGCCAGCCAAAGCTGGCATGGCAGCTACCTGTCTTTGTAAATAAAGTTTTATTGCAACAGAGCCCTGCCCCTTGTTCACATGTTGTCTATGGCTACTTTTAGGATACAGCAGAGAACAAAAACTGCATGGCTCACTAAGCCAGAAATATTTTATTAACTGGTCCTTTACAGAAAAAGTAGGCTGACCTTGATTTAGAAAGAGCATTACCATAGACGGGGTGGTGTAATCCAAGCAGTCTGGGAAGCTGAGGCAAAAGGACCTCAGCTTGGGCAACTTGGAGACTTAGTGAGACCCTGTCTTAAAATTTACAATGTAAAGGGTTAGGGATCTAGCGCAATGTGAAAGCCCGAGGTTCAACCCCCAGCACACGCACACACAAAAGCACCAAAACAGAAATTTTATTGTTAAGATTGATGGGGGTAGGGTAGTTAGTTATAGGGCTCAAACTCAGAAGTGTTTTTAACACTGAACTACACCCACAGCCCTTTGTATTTTTTATTTTGAGACAGGATTGTGCCAAGTTGCTCAGGCTGGCCTCGAACTTACAATTCTACCTCAGTCTCCTAAGAAGATGGGATCACAGGGATGTGCAACCACACTAGGCTCAGAAGTCCCTTCTAAAATGGTGTTTGTAGCTGCAGAGCCCCAGGAAAGCGGTGCCTCCCCTCTGCTACCTTCTCTGTATCCCACAGTCCCGGCCCACATGGGCTATCTGTGCAGGAAACCGCAGCTCCTGCAGGAGCCGCACCCTCTCCTGCACACCCCTCCCTCTCCTGCACACCGGTCCTCTGCCAATCACTCCCTTGCTTCCTCCCTCCTCCCCCACCCCGCCAGTACAGGACTCCTCCTCCCTGTAACAAACCTGGGAGTATCTGCCATGTGCTAGGCATACTTACCTTCAAAACCTTTCTGCAAAGTTTGAAACAGGCGTATCAGTCTTGTCTCCCCTGAGACATCTGCCAACCTACCTCGAGGCTGGCAGTGAGCTCGTCCTTCTCTTTCATTCTGTCTTCATAAGCCAGCAGCAATGGCGAAAGGTACTTTACGTCCAACTGAAGATTACAGTAAAGATACAGTGCAGTAAAAGATGGTTAATATATTTCCTACATCGAAATGATCAGCAAATTTTTTAAAAGTCAAAAACCCACTTATTTTGGAATGGTTCTCAGTAGCTGCACAAACAGAGCTGAGAAAATAGGGGCCTGAAATTAAATAATTTTCACTTACCAACCACGGTGGTACAGGGCCCTTTGATGGGAGGCCTTCAATATGTAAACTCTAAGAAAAAACACATATTGAAGACAAAATAAACTATACTCAAATAGTGAGTCTTAGATAGTCTTTCATGGGGAGGCAGCCTGTGGTGGGGACAGTAGGGATTCAACCCATGGCCTCTGCACCGAACTACATCCCCAGAGCTTTTTATTTTGAGATGACTGGGTCTTGATAATTTGCCCTGGCTGGCCTTGAATTCAACATTCTCCTGCCTCAGCCTCAAGAGTAGTTGGGATTTACAAGCACAGGTGTCTTAGATATTCTTAAACTAGACCAGACATCACCCATCTGTGTGTGTGTGCATGTACATGTATAAGAAACATTATTTCTGAAGTGACTTAAGAGTAATGCCCCCTTTCCTCAATATACTTCAGTGTATATTTTCTAAACACAAAAGCATTCATATATCCAAGATATTACATCATAAAAAGAAGGCAATCTAAACCGATACAATGTTATTTTCAAATATACAGCGGTGTAAGGGCTGGGCCTCAGAGCCTCAGGTACAACGGGCTGGTGCCCACCCCAAGCCACGCTCTCAGCCCCTGCACTCTGCACCCTGCTATCCTGTCCCAGTGTTTACCACAGCTCCTTACTGCCTTGATGAGGGAGAAGGAAGGACGGACAGTCTTTAGCAAATATGCTTTGAATACATTTTTATACTAAATTATAATAAACAAGAACCCATCGGAATCAGACATCAATTCAACAGTAAAGTCTAGAAAAAGAAATATGATATCTGTAATCGGGAACATTACCTCTTCCTCAGACAAAGGCCTGAATTTTGTTTGGTAGCGACTCAGTTCTACATTCAAACGATGGACGGTCATTTTCAAGCCATCATTTTCATCCAACAGCTCTTGGGCTTGTTTCCTCAGATGAAGTAATTCAGGTACAGCAACTCCTAGAAGAAAAGTAAATGTATTAGTAATACATGAATTCCTACAAAAAAACCTAAATGAATTAATTCAAAAATTTAATGAAATGGGGGAATTTTTCTGAAGTGCTTGGTGGTGAATCTTTTCGAGAACTTTGTAATAAAAGATCATCATCCTTTAAGTCATCTTTTTAAAGGGTCCTTTATGAGTTATTTATATATATATAAATATATATATAAATATATTTATATATATATCAATATATATATATATATATTGATCATCACTTGTCTTTTGTTAGGGGAGACAGTGAATTTTATACATCTACAGTATAAATGAATGAAAAGTTACCAAGTTTTTAACAGTCAACATTGTTTTGGAAGTTTATGGATGTTTTTGTGGGTACAATAATGCAAAAAAATAATTCTAAATTGGAAAGAAACAGTCTTTGCAGATGATATATTTGTGTCTTGAAAATTACACAGAATATTCCCAGTACAAAAAAAAAAAGAAAATTATATAGAATGGAAAATTTGTTAAAACATAACTTTTCACATAATAGCAATGCGCTATTACAAAATATAATGGAAAATAAGTCCCACAAAGAAAGAGCACAAATAAACCATCCAAAAATAAATATGCCTAAGACAATATGCAGGTTCTGTTTGCAAAAAACCAAGCCACTTGACTTAAAGCCATTTATATTCATCTTACATAAATATGAAAAAGTACAGAAATATTAGTGAATATATAACCTTAGGAAAAAGACTTGGTGCCAAGGGAACATATTCTAGAGATAGAAATAAATTATCAACAAACTAAGGAAATATATATATGACAAAGGGCTAAAATCCTTAACACATAAAGACTTTGACAAGTCAAGAAAAAAGTTTTTCAACTTAAAGTTGGCAAATTTATGAATAAAAAAATGTATGAGATAAAATATCCACATAAAAAAGAACCAAAAAAATCCAACTCAACAAATATCCATACAATAGCAATAAATATACAACATGAAATATTAACTCTCAAAATAAATAATGAAGTGAGTAAAGTCAGTTCAGCCCTTTAATAAAAGAACTGGGTACTTGCTCGCACCTTCCTGACTGGACGCTTTTTCAGCCTCTTTCAGACTTCCGTTGTCTTTTCCCATCCTTTTAAGTTTTAACTGTAATTTTTTCATTGCTTGTTTTATTACATTTAGTTCAAGCATAAGAGCTTGATTTGCATTGCTTAGGAGCAAATTTTCTTCTTTTAACTCCTCAAACTTTTCTTTGGTTATTTCTATACATCTTTGACGTATTCTGCCAGTTACATCTGAAAAAGTACAAGGGAAAAGCTTGCAAAGATTGATGTTTACCATTTATATCAAAAGCACAAGAGACTTTATTCCAAAATCCGTATGAGCAACTACTTCCCATCAGGCCTGAGGCTGTGTCCTTGATCCCTGCAAGGGAATGGCCATGAAGAGGCCTGTGGTCTAGGGAGGCCATGGTGGAGGCAGGAAGAGAGGTGACAGAGAGGAGGCAGGGCCAGAGGAATGTTGTAGACAAGTAGCTAAATTAGGTAGAAATATTACAGGCGGTCAGACAGGGCTGGGCCCTCAAGGGAGTCAGTGCAGGAGATAAGGACCCATTACAGCTGTGGCATTCGTTGAAGGCCAGGCTTCAAGGTAAAGATGAAGGACTAGGCCTACATACCTCCTGGAGGGATAAACAATACACTAGACAGGCATCGGTCACCAGAGTGGGTGACATCTCTTCCTCAGCAAGTCTTTGTTCTTCCCATGTATACTTGCTACATGACCTGTTTCCCCATTGGATCAGTTTTACCTAAGCAACTACACTTGTAATCTTATTGCTTGATTATGATTCTGTGCCATGTTGTACTCACCTCATGATTTTGTACTCACATCATGATTTTGCTCTACAAAACTTCCTTTGAGAAGTGGGCTCCTGTGCAGCCCACTTGGGCCCCCTCTTGCCTCTTAGGAGTTGTATCTTTTTTTTTTTTTTTTTTTTTTTTTTTTTTTTTTTTTTTTTTTTTTTTTTTTTTTTTTTTTTTTTTTTTTTTTTTTTTTTTTTTTTTTTTTTTTTTTTTTTTTTTTTTTTTTTTTTTTTTTTTTTCTTTTTCTTTTTGGAGACAGGTTTCTCCCTATGTAGTTGAGACTGTCCTGGAACTCACTATGTAGCCCAGGCTGGTCTCGAACTCACAGTGATCCTCCTGCCTCAGCCTCCCAAGTGCTGGGATTACAGGTGTGCGCCACCACACCCTGCTAGGAGCTGTATCTTTCAATAAATAATCTTCATGGTTCCTTAGAATTCATTCTTCAATTTGGGGGAACATGAACTCCATGTATCTGACATCTAGTGGGTTGGAAGTTGTCATATTTCCCCTACATCATTTGGAGGTCCTTTATCAGGAGGCCCTGGGTTTGAGAGTACAGAGAGGAGTTTCCACCCTGCAGGCCACCAGGAGCCAGAATCCCTTCAGGACAGAGAGGTAAGAAGGAAGCAGGCTCCACTCTCAATGGAGCAGAGGCCAGCGGGGCAGGCATGGACTGGAAGTGGACTGGAGTGAGGCCCAGCCAAAGGGAGATTAAAAGGCAGCACTAGGGTATGGCAGGGAGGAAGGGACAAGGCCAGCAGGATTCAGAGGCTAAAACCCAACAGATCTCAGTGGCTCCCTGAGTGTGGGCAGTGAGGGAGGGAAATCAAGTGTGAGTTTATTAAAACAAAAGTACAAGAGGTCATTGTATGGAATTAAGGTCCTATACTAGGCCCAAGAGATGAGACTAAAAATCACAGTAGTATCACTCATACTAAAGTCCCAAGTCACTCTGCTGTTATCAACTAAGCTATTATCTGACCACGAGGTGGTGGGGGGACCCACACCAAATTTCTCAAACAGGCCAGTTTCAATTGACCAGGATGATGAACTTCCCTCTGCTTTAACCCTTAAAACAAACAAACGAACAAGGAACCTGATATTAACCAGCCAGCTTTTTCTATAGTTCTGCCTCAAGCCCAATTTACAAGGAAAGAAACTGAAATGACCAATGGGGTCACTGGGGGTGGGGTACTGGCGATTGCACAGAGGCCTTTCATACTGAGCTACATCTCCATTTTGGGGTTTGTTTTGTTTGAGACACAGTCTCACTATGTAGTTCAGGCTGCCCTTGAACTATGTAGCCCCGGGTGGCCTGGACCTCGAGGTAATCCTCTTGCCTCAGCCTCCTGAGTTGCTGGGATCACAGGTGTGTACCACCATGCCCAGTCATCCCCAGGTCTTTCTTATTTTAATTTTAATTTTTGAGATAGGGTATTGCTGAACTGCTAAGCTGGCCAATTTGCACTCCTGCCTCAGCCTCTCAGAGTGCTAGGATTTCAGAAGTGTGCCATCTCACTTGGCTTCCACTCTCTTTTGTTCTTTGTTTCTCTTTCTTTGCCCCTTCCTTCTCTGTGTCGAAAGCCAACCTCTTTCGCTCACCTAAGTGGAAAGTTTATTGTTTCAAGTGTTGCCTGATGCTAGCATCACAAATAAAGCCAACTGAGCTGGGGACTTAGCTCAGTGGTTCCACCACCTGCTTCGTAAGCACAAGGTCCCAAGTTCCATCCCCGGTACCAAAAAATAAAAAAAAAGCCAAGTGAAATCATTACACTGCATCTACTGTAATTCTGTGGAGACAGTGGCCCAGACAAGGGACAAGAGAGCAGGTGTGAGAGTCCAGCAGGAGGGAAGGTGAACTTGTATGAGGAGATGGCCCAGAGCTGGGAAGGCAGCTCCATTAGGACAGACTGGGGAGCTACCAGCCAGGGGAGGTGACAAAGGGTTTCAGGAAGAAACAGCAAGAATCCTTAGAGGAGAAGAGCGTTCCAATGGCAAGATGTGCTCAAGATCAAAGGAGCTGAGAACTACAGTGGGCCCCCAGCCAGGGCCGGCTCCCAGTGGAGAAGGAGGAGGCAGAGGCAGTAGCAGGTGGACGGCGGAAGGAGAACCACACTGCCCACTGACGCGTACACGTGCAGGCCTTAGAACAGGGACGGCGAACCTCTCAGAGCTTTCAGTGATCACAGACGCCCACTGAGGCACACATGCCATAGCTTCACCACCCCTGCCTGCAGTCTTCAGGCCAAGGCTGGTGGCAGGAAGAGAGTTAACAGAGAGGAGGTGGGGCCACAGGAGGCCCTGGAGCTTTCAATGCAGAGAGGAGGTTTTATTCTGCAGGTCCCTGCTGGAGAGGCTGAGAAACGGGACTCCACAGCTACACTGATCACGGGAGTGAAGCACAGGAGAAAACCCAGGGAGAAAGTACAGTGTAGTTGAGGTTAAACTGAAGACAGAAGCCATAGCTAACATGTGCTGGGAGAGGTCAGCAACAGAAGGGTGTCACGGCTTTTATCTGGATGCCCCCCAAAGCCTCACTGCTCATGGGTGTGGCTTCTGGGAGGTGGCTGGATCATGGGTGTGTGATATTGGATTAAAGGTGCATGATAACTGGATTAGTCCACTGACTTGTTAAGTGTAGTTCTGGGTGTGGATAAAGGGAAGGCCCACCCTGGGTGTAGGTGACACCAACCGATAGGCTAAAATATAAAGGGAAAGTTGCAAGGTAGGTTCGCTGACTCCGGCCCACCCTGCCATGGACTGTTTTCGTTCCACCACGGCACTCTGTCATGCTGCCCTGCCTTGGATCCAGTCAGTTAAAACCTCTACAGTGAGCTGAAATAAACCTTTCCTCCTTTAATTGTGGGTATTGAGTATTTTGTCCCAGCAACGAGAAAGTAAGACAGAGGGAGTGAGGCAAAGTGGACAGGAAAGAGCTGATGTGGGGCCCGATTAGAGCACCAAGGTGCAAGAAGCAAGCAATCAACCACTGGGCCAAGCAATGAGAGCAGAGATGGATGTGGCCTATGTCAGACAGGCAGAGCGGGCCAGGGTGCTGCAGAAACCCGGGAGGAAGACAGCTTCCGTAGCCACTGGCTGGCACATCCTGCCTGTCCCCAACAGTCCACGGAAACAGGATACACGCCTGGCAGCCCACAGGGCCTAAGTAGAGACGTAGCATTTCCAGGCAGATCAACAGACTTTCAAGGACCAAAACGAGCACACTACCAAGAACACCATCAAGTACCTCAGCCATGAGAAGCACCAAAGTCAAATGAGAGAGAACAGGGGAGGTGGAGCACAGAACAGATACGGAACTGGATGAATATACAGAAGGTTCTCAGAAGAAGTCAGGCATGGTGGTACAGGCCTATAATACCAGCATTGTGGGAGGCTGAGGCAGAAACAACTCAGGTTCCAACCCAGCCTAGGGAACTTAGACCTTGTCTCAAAACAAAAAACTAAAAATAGATGGAGATGTAGCTCAGTGCAAAGGCCCTGGGATCAATCCCCAGTATGACAAGAAAAAAAATGTTCAGATGTTAGTATTTCACAGAAGTCATTTTGATTGATAACATAAATGCAAAGGCTGGGCTGAACAGAATATTTACAAAGTGGGCTAGAAGTTAAACTCCCAAAACCTGACCAGAACACAGTAGCGAAGGCTCCAAGACAGAAAGGGTGAACAGAGTCAATGTGACACAAATGACAGGTGAGAATTGGATTTTCACACTATTGATGTAAGTCATACCGACCCAAAATCACAAAATCCACTTTGAAAGCTACTGCAGCCCTCCAAACTGTGCAAGTAACACACCTTATAAAGCACCAGCCCCGGAGCAGAGCCCTCTCTCACATACACTGACTCGAGACTCGAGCGCCCCATGCTGCACCCTACCCCAGAACCTGCACGTCTGCCACAGAGACGTGTGTCCACCGCAGTGTTGTGCTTTCCATCTAGACTCCCCCAAAGCCTCACACAAGCAGAGGCGGGGCTGAGGAGGTGACTGGGTTTTGTGGGTGCTATATACATGCACAGGTTAGTCCACTGATGAGTTTACGGATAAATGTGCTGTTCAGAGACAGGGAGCACGGTCACTAGGGGCGTGGCCTGGAAGGGTTTATCTCCTTCTTCGGCTCCTCCCCCAGCTCAGTCCTCCTGGCCACAACCCCTGCCCTGGCCATGCCCCTCCACCCTGAGGAAGCCAGGCAATAGTGAACTGAAAACATGAGCCAAAATAAGCCTCTCCTCCTTCAAACTGCAGGGGTCAGGTATTTTGCTCTGGTTTGAGGAAAGCAACTAAGACACCTGGTGTTTGGACCTTCTTTCCAGAGGCAAAGGCAGAGGTTCAACAGGAACAAACACCTCTTCCCATGTCCCATGATGGGGCGGAAGCAGCATCCTTTCTAGGGAAAGGAAATCTGAACTCTACTTCCAGGGAGGCTATTCTGTTCAATCGCTAAAACTATAAGCTTTTCACACATAAGGGACTCGAAACGTAACTACCTGGAGAGGGAGGCGGCTTCTCACGTAGCAGCGTTCTTTCACCCTAAGGAAGAAACAGTACAGCGTGAGCACAAGGTGTGAGCGGCTTCTAGGCATGGGCAGACAGCGCAGGGCAGCAGACACCAGCGGGGTACAAGCACATTTTCCTGCAACACTTTGGTTCTTGTGGTTCTCCGTTTATTTTAGCTTTAGAAAAGAACTTTTATGGGAAGATTTTTTTTTTTCTCTTACAAACCACAAGAGCATTTAAAAATTGTAGAGGAAATTCAATTTATTGAGAATATGAGGTTTTTCCAAGTATGAGCTTACCTTTAAATTCAGAACAGAGTATTTATCATCTGATTAAAAAAAAAAAAACAGAAAAAAAATGAGAAATTTGACAAGTCAGGAGTGTGCAATCATACAAACTCACCTCCCACCGGTGAGCTGAGCAAGGCTCTAGACCGCGACAGGACTTTTCACAGCCACACAGCAAGGAGGTCCCAAACCAAGGCCGGGTGCCTGACTTTAGCTGCTGTCCCCATCTACCGCGCTCTCTCCTGAGCACCTTCACGGGCTCCAGGGATCACAGAGCCACGCCCCTCCGAGCTACCTTTCCCTGCTGGCTCCTCCCCACCGCTCCGGCCGCCCCCTCCTTCTCCGGTCTACACCACAGGGGCCAAGGCTGACTCCTCTCCGCCCACCCTCCTTGGTCCGAGAAACAGCCATTGCTGGAGGAACACTGCCTGACTGATGCAGCTGGAAACAAAGCTGGTCAGGTCTTTACCTTCCGAGTACTGGGATCGCAGGGTCCCCAGGAGGGGGTGACCTTAATTAACACTTTGCTACCATGAAAAGTCAGACATCTGGGTTGCTTCTAAAGTTCCACTACTGACCCACAAAGAATAACTAACTGAAAATAAATAAGAACTACATAGTGTATTCAAGGACAGCCTGACAGCGAGACCCTGTCTCAGAAAAAGAGACTGTAAATTTGCAGAAAAAAAAAAAAAAAAAAACCCTCACAAAACACCAACAAACATGCTTAAAAATACATAGAAGATTCCCAATCTACTTCCTAGTTCATTAAAATTACCAAGACTTGAATAATTCATTGCTAGAGAGCTTACTTTTGGCCAAAAACTGCTGCGGTTGCAATCCCCTGACCAGCACTTGTGCCCTAAACTGAGTACTCCAGTAACAGTCAGCTCCCTGTTCTCATTCTCACCCGGCAGTTGGCGCCATACTGAACTCTGTCAGCAGAGGGCACCAGAGAGACACCGGGGGCAGTCTTGGGATCCGCACCTTGCCCCAGAGAGCCTCACCTGTTACCCAGCCCCAGCCCATGGCCCACAGCTATGCCCTCTACCGCAAGGCTTCAGCTCCAGGCAGGCAGGCCACCTCCTCAAACGCAGTGTGACTCCTCACTGTCTACAGGCATATCTTCCCCAGCGCTCTTTACCCCTCAGCAGGCAATCCTATCAAACTAATCCTCTCTCCCTCCTCTGCTCAAATCACCCTGTATTTTGACACAGGATTTTGCTCAGCTGCCCCAGCTAGCCTCGCGCTTGAGATCCCCCTGCTTCAGCCTCATGAGCAGCTGTGATTATCAGACTTAGACTTGCCTTTTGATTTTTTTAAAACAATGAAAACTCTTTCATTAAAATATGCTTTTTATATGAGTTTAATATTTATTAATGCTAGTCAATATTTTAAAATATGCACAGGCAGATGCAGTGGTACACACCTTTAATTCCAGCTACTCCGTAGGCTGATGGGGGAGGATCACTGAGTCCAGCATTCAGGGTCAGCCAGAGCAATGCAGCAAGACCTCTTATCAGAAAAATGCACACACACACACACACACACACACACACACACGCACAAACATGTACATTATATACATGCTGAGTGTTATGGTTGTGTCTAGATGCCCCCCAAAGCCTCGTGTGGTCATAAGTGGGGCTTTTCAGAGGTGGCTGGATCTACAGTGTGTGACGCTGGGATTAAGGATAAAATGCTGGGACTGATTCACAGTGTGATGCTAGGAGTAAGGCTGCCCCACTCCGGGTGTGGGTGCAGGTAGCCCGGACAGAATAGGAGGGACGGAAGGGAGGCTTGTTGCTTTTGCTGCATCTGCCTGCCACAGACTGTTTCTCCTTTGTGATACCCCTCTGCCCATGCTGCCCTGCTCTGGAGCCAGCTGACTATGGAATGAATCCTCTACAAACTGTGAGCTAAATAAGCCTGTCCTCCTTTAACTCTGGGTGTTAGGTATTTTGTCTCAGCACTAAGACACTGAAGAGCAGTTTTACTCTCTACCTCTCTGGTTTTACACTTCTGGTTTTTACTCTCTGGTAGAAGACCAGGCACTACTATGCTAGCACTGTTTTCCCCTCAGGCACCTTGTAAACTGATTTCCACAACAGTGCCCTGAACCCAGGAGCCCAGGCAGCTGTGAGGGCCCTAATGAAACAGTCACTAGGGGCTGGGGATTTAGCTCAGTAGCACAGCACCTGACTGGCAAATGCAAGGTCCTGAGTTCAATCCCTGGTACTGAAAAAAATAAAACAGTCACTGGGCAGGGGAGTTAGCTCAGTGGTTCTGCTGCCTGCCTGGTAAGCACAAGGACTTGAGTTTGGTCCTCAGTACCAAAAAAAATAATAATAATAAAACAAACAAACAAACAAAAAGAAACAGTCACTGGTAGTCTGCTCTATGCTAGCTCCCCTCTTCACTTCCAAACATAACCCATGGCTTACGGACCTCGAAAATGTCCCGATCTTTGTAACACACCGAGTGCTCTCATTGTACAGCGTGACACACGCTGCAAAAAGACAGCTGACGCACAGATCCACAGTCATATCTGAAACATCCTCATGCTCATACATTCAGTGAACCTTCACTGCCAGCGCAAGTAGCTGGGCCCTGCACCAGATCCTGGGTGGGGAGAGGGCATGCACACCCCAGGGAGCAGAGGACAGAAGTCGCAGTCTGCCAGGACGCTCTGCCCACCAGTTCTCTCACAGCCCAGGGGCCAGCACTTTCTATGTCAAAGGCAACCTAATATTCACTGAAAATAAATCTCAATAATATTCCTAGGTAAGATCCCGGAAGCACAGTATGGAGGTGCAACAGCACCAGTATTGGCATCCTACAGGCTCCTAAGAATTTGGGGTTTTGTTCTTTTTTACCTTTTTGTTGTGCAGATTGAGGTGTAAGAGATGAAGAGCCGGGAAACCCATCTTGCTCAGAAATATCTTCATCATCTTCACTGTCCACTTCACGTGACAACGGCACCTTTTTGTTCCCAAGGACGAAGAGGCAAACGTGGAACAAGTGTTACTTGCATAATATGTCCGCTAACAAGCTGGAACGTCCCATGCTATGCTGCTTTCCTCAGTGAGGGGCCCAGTGCCACCCCCGAGCCCTCGGGAAAAGCCTGGGGGACAGAGATAATCCATGTGATGCATAGCTGTGGAACTGGACATCCCACACAGGGCCCCGGGATGGTGCCCTTTCCCTTCCCGATGCCTAAGCTGAGATTCATTTCCCCATGGGACAAGAACGGCTGACCTGCCTGGAGAACCGTCACCCAGGTGACAGTTAGGGCCGAGGCCCTCTACGGTTGCTGACCTGATTCCACTGTTGGATTGGAACTTTCCACTGCCACGATGAGCACCTATGTGGGTATCAAAGGTGGCAGGGCCACAGAGCTGTCCTTAGAGGCTATGCCAGGAATGGGACTTCCCCTGCCAAGAAAGGGTCATTCCCATGGGCAGGGCTCTGGAGAACAGGGACAGGGGCTGCCCAAGGAGAAGAGCCAGAAGTAAGTCCCGCAGGGTAAACTGGGCCGGTGCCCTCCAGGTCGGTTGTCCTTCTGCTACTAGGATTCTGCAGGAAACTCCTGCTCTGATCAGCATGGCAGCTGGTTGCAATGAAGGCTGGCAGAGAGATGCTGGCAACCACCCCCAAGATACCCCTAAAAAGGGGCACTTCAGAGCCGAGAGCTGAGGCTGCTGGGTCTACAGGCTTGGCGCACATGGCCCTCAGGTGACCTGGTCAGGGGGCGGAGCACCTGGGTCTCCCAACCTATTCATCATTTGAAAGAAAAAGAGAAAGGACTTCTTGCTTTTGTGTGTGGCAGGGTGCCGCCAGGAACTGAACACAGGGCCTCCCACATGGTAGGCAAGTGCTCTACCCCTGAGCTACATCGCCGGCCTTTTTTATTTTATTTTGTGACGGAGTCACTGAGGTGTGCAGGCTGGCCTCAAAATTGTGATCTTACTGCCTCAGACTCCTGGATACCTGGGACTAAAGGGCATAAGTCCCCACACTGGGTACACCTCTTGCTTTCCACCTCCCAGGACTTCCCCGAGATATACTAAGCTACCCATTAGGATCAAGGAATGTGAAACTGGTAAGAGCACAGAAATAGCACTATAAAGATACCCCGCGTGGCAAACTGTCTGGCAACATCCACTGGCACTACAGCTGATCAGTGCCTACGATCACGTATTCCCACTCTTCGGGTCTTTCACGCACCGGAAGTACAGACACACGTGCAAGGACACATCTGCACATGTTCAGAGCAACACTATGCCCAAGAGCCCCAAACTAGAAACAACCAAACCAGGTAAGTGGATGAGTAACTGACTGGCCGGTTATAAAATACAACGCTATACAGCAGTAAGAATGAACAAACTGCTGCTGCTGCACAGGGTAACTGAAGACTTCAAAACTCTAAAAAATACATACTGTGTGGTTAAACTCATGTAACTTTCAGAGTGGGCAAAACCAAATGCAAGACTTTTCTTTTTTTCCAGTGTGAGGACTAAACCCAGGCCCTCCCATGGAGCTACCATCTCCAGCCCTAACTCACGTGATCTTTAAAGATCTAATCTAATTCTGGAATTAGGATGATGGTGAAATCTGGGCGGAAGTGGTAATTGAGAAGGAGGACTTCCAGAATCCTGGGATACCAGTTATGCTCTTTTGTCATTTGGTTTCTTGAGACAGGGTCTCATTTTGTAGTTCAGGCTGGCCATGAACTCAGCATGTAGCCCAGGCTGGCCTCGAACTTATGGCAATCCTCCTTGCTCAGCCTCCTGAGAGCTACGATACAGCTGTGTGCATTACCACATCCGGCTTAGCTATGTTCTCCTGAATTTCTGTTTTGTGTATACGTGGTGCTGAGGACTGAGCTCAGGGCCCAGGCATTCTATCACTTAGCTACATCTTCAACCCCTTTTTCATGTTTTAAGAAAAATCTCGTGGTAGCTATTTTGTGAAAAGGTGGAGTCGTACACTTGTAATTCTTGTACCTTTTATGCATATTTAATATGTCAATGTTTAACGTACCAATATTTATTTAAAACTTACCCTCATAAAGAACTTGTCATACTATCCTACAAACAGTCTAAAAGGCTTGCGTTTGAACATTTTTTTAAAAACTCCCTGATGTTCTGAGTATGATAATGCCCTTTGGTAACTAAAACAAAACTTGCTTGGGGGCTGAAGGAGGGAAGGAAGCCGCAGACCCAGCCTGCCCCAGGGCCGACAAGGACCACAACAGTGGCCTTGCATTCACCACCTGAGACACTTGTCCCACACTACTTAGACTGGAAAGAGCAAAGGACACACATGCCGTCACCTCCAGGGTGCCTACTGAGTAAAAACTATCATTTCCAAAGTCACAGAGGGCAAGAAACATAACAACTGAAACAGTGTCAGCTCAAAAACAGAAACGATGGCTGGAGGTGTAACTTAGTGTAGGACACTAGTCTAGCGTGCGTAAGAAAGGCTCTGGGTTTTTGATCCTGAGCAAAGATGCAATAAGATGTCCAATCTAAATTTAGACACATCCATATATATGTACAAATTCAACTATAAAAAAGATATAAAATATTATATTATAAAAAGATTCAATCATCTGGTTAAAAGACAAAGCCAAAGATTGCCAAACTGGGTCAACAAAAACTATATGTGACATTCAACTGTATACTTCATTTAAATGACTGAATCACGTGGTATGTAAATTATATGTTATTAAACTTGTGGGGTTTTCTGTTTGTTTGTTTGTTTGTTTTTTTGAGACAGGGTCTCACTATGTAGTTGAGACTGACCTGGAACTCACTATGTAGCCCAGGCTGTTCTCAAACTCACAGTGATCCTCCTGCCTCAGCCTCCCGAGTGCTGGGATTACAGGCATGCGCCACCACACCCGGCTATTAAACTTGCTTTTAAAAATGATACACTGTCTAAAAGACACATCTAAACATAGGACATACAAAAATTTAAATTAAAGGACAGAAAAATACTGACCATGAAAATACCAAGCAAAAGAAAGTTGGCGGAAACAAAATCAGCTGGCCCTGGAGACACGTGGCCCTTTCAAATGCACCTGTACATCAAATCTGCATGTGAATTGTGGTAATGAACAGAACTTCTTGTGGAGTTAGTGGGAGGTCAGCCAAGAGAAAGGCACAGAAGAGAGACCTGAACTACTATGTGTGGGAGACGCATGACAGCTGGGTGTGGAGGCATATGCCTGTAATGCCCACACTCAATAGGCTGAGGCAGGAGGATGTCTATGGTGTGAGGCCAGCATGGGCTGCATAGTGAGTTCAAGGCCAGTCTGGACTACTCAGTCTCCACACACACACACACACACACACACACACGAGACACGTGACAATATTCCTCTAATTAGGCACGAGTTTGAAGAAAGGTTGTAATAAAGAGACTGATACAGAAAAGTAATAAGAAAATTAGCTTTTGGAGTCCAAGGGAAGAGCAAATTGCTAGCTTCTGACACACATCCTCGTCGAGAACACGAAGACGTTTACCCTCATCTTTGAAGGCCTGATTTTGCCACATCAAGGAATGAGGTTTAAATTTTAGCCTAACTAGACAGAAATGAGGGCAGACACATAAAAATTCAGTCATCAATCACTTAATCGATAAAAAGCCTGAAAACAAAAGCTTTGAAACAGAACAGAGAAAGGAAGCACTTCCTCGACACTCTGTCTACTTCCTGTAACATGAGCGCTGGGCAGGGACACGGGAACACGGCTCACCAGGCGTCCGTGGGGCACAGCGTACACAGCATCCCTGTGGCTGCCTCCCTCCTTCCGGGCGCCGCCATCCCCGGACTCCTCGTCACCAGACGACACCTGTGTTTCAGTGTCACCTTCTTCCCCAGAGCCCAGGGCTCCAAAGGGTGATGAAGAAGTTCTCCTTCCTGCTCCACTCTGCCAGCTTGGCCTGCTAGAATATGAAAGAACAAAAACAAGTGCCCTAACGCTTGACTGGTTTTTGCAATTCCGGAGACTAAACCCAGGGCCTTCACACTGAGCCATATCCCTAGTGCAGCTCCTCACACGCTTTTACCCTTTTTTGTTGACATGGGGTCTCACTGAGTCGCTAAATTAACCAGGATGGGCCGTAACTGCAGTCCTCCTGCCTCAGCCCCACCAGTGCTGGGATTACAGGCGTGCCCTACCATGTCCAGCCTGATATCTACACATGTATTAAATGCATCCCCTCCAAGCCTCCACAACAGCAGTATTACACGACAGTATAAAATATATAGAAGCTCCAAGGTTAAACCACTCTCTAGCTCACCTTTAGGTATTTCTTTCTTTTGGGGGGCAGGCATTGAGACCAGGTTTTGCTGTGTAGTTCATATTGGCCTTGAACTCACTACATAACCCAAACTGGCCTCAGCAGTGATCCTCACAGCCTCCCAAATGCTGAGATTACAGGAATGCACCATCACTCTGGGCTGTATGCTCTTGTCTTTCTAGTTATGGTTGTTTGGAATTTTAGTTATTACTGTATATATAAACAATCTGTCTTGGGTTTTTTATGAATATTAAAATTAACCCTTTCTAAAAGGTAAATGTAACCGTATGTAATAAAGTAACAATTTAACTCATTTAAGCACTTAGCAACTTAATAAGACCTTGTCTCAAATTTTTTAAAATTGGGAGTGCGGTAGTAACATAGCTGAGGGCAAAAGCCCTTGTGTTCAATCCCCAGCACTGCAACCAAAGAAAGAAAGGAGGGAGGGAGGGAGGGAGAGGGAGAGAGAGAGAAGGGAAGGAAGGAAGGAAGGAAGGAAAAGAGGACTAGTGTGTCATCATTTAGGCAAGATCTACCCTGGAGAAATTTATTTTTGGGTTTTTTTTTTAATTTTTGTTTATTTGTTTTGGTTTTTGTTTGAAACAGTCTGGCCTCAAACTCACTTATGTAGCTCAGGCTGGCCTCAAACTTGCCTCGATCCTCCTGACTCAGCCTCCTAACTATTAAGAAAATTTTGATCAAAGCAATTAATACCTCTGGACAGTGTCTGTTTAACGCTAGTGATAAAAACTGAAGGACTAACACTAGCCATGAACACACGTACACGCGTGCGCACACACACGAGCACACAGCAACACCGTCCCTACCGAAGCCGCGGCTGGGAGGTGGTGGCATAGGGCTCGATGAGACTGTCTTTCTCGTCGCAGGTCGCATCACTCTCAGACCGCGACCTCGGGCGAGGCTGGGGGATGGCGACGGTCCTCCCAGTCAGCGTCGTTGCCAAAATGGCCGCGGCCAGGGCCGACCTGGGGACGGAAACAGGGGCCTGAGACGGGGAGATGGCACATCCGGGACATCCGCGCTGAAGGACATCCGGGTCACCCATGGCTTCCCTGGGAACCACAGCGTCGTCTGAACTTCCGCTACTTGCCCACAGTCCGTGGTGCCCCCAGACGGTCTCCCGGTCTTCACGTTGACTTTAAGGAGCTGTATTACTCTCACCCCATTTCCACAGAAATTAAATGACTAAGATTTCCCACTCAAAAACAAATTTTAAAAAAATTTTAAAAAGAGGAAAAAACAAAAAGGTTTCCTCACCAATAAGAGAGAGCCAATTCGCTAATGAAGGTAGTCGGATCTCAAAGCCTGAACTCAAATGGTGTTTTTATTAAAATGACATCAGAATGGAGAGAAATGACATAAAAAGACATCAAAGTTTAAAAGACCATTTGAAAACACTTGGAAATTAGTCAAATGTATGTCACAGGTAAAATAGTGGCAGATTTATCCTCCTGCCTAAAAAGGCCAAATGAAACAAATGAACAGACTTCTTTCTGGTTGTTGGGCTGAATGCAGGGGAGAATTCGCAGGTCACAGGGTACAGGCCGGAACCTAAAGCACAACCAGGCAACTTCCCAAGCTAAGAGCTGGGGATGCCGGGCAGAGAGGGTCTTCAAGACAGCAGCAGCAAGAGGGAGCTGCTCAGAGAGAAGCTGGGAGACTTGCACGGGTATCCTGAGTGTTCAGCAAGACTCCTTAGCACATCCATGTGAGGAAAGCATCTGAGGCTGGAAGAAGAGAGACGTCCAAAGCATTGAGAGAAAGAGACAGGGACTTAAACAGTCCGGGACAGTACCCGTTCCCATGAAGCTGGAAAAACGTCACTTGTGGAACACTGGGGCCAGAACTCAGAAGAGCATCCCAGCTGAGCGTGGCCCCAGCCCCTCTAGCAAATGAATCAAATGTAAAACGGAAGACTGTGGGAACCCATGTTTGTGGCTAGTGCGTATAAAACACAGGTAAATTGCAAGGTCCTTAGTTTGGTCTTCAGTACCAAAAAATTAAAAGATAAAAATAAAACAGGTAAAACAAGCTGGGCTTGTGACTGGCATCTTAGATGGGGAAGGGGCAACCTTGGGGACTTAGCCCTCAATCTGCGGGGTCTGCTGCTCCCTCCAGGTAGACACTAGCAGAACTGAACTGGGTCAGAGGACACCTGGGTGGCACCCACTGCTAAATTAATTGCTTGTGTGCTGGTGGGATGGAGGAATCTCCTACATCTTTTGGAGTCACAGAAGCGATCACTGTTGACTGATGCTAGTTGAGAGTATAGGAGAAACAGAGAGAGTATAGTTGTGGTAGATTAATTAACGGTCAACTTGTAACACCCAGCTGAACTGAATCAGCCTGCTCTGGGTGTGGAAGATCCACCTGAGGATTACTGCCAATAGCCATACAGAGAGAACTGGAAAAGAAGATCCCAGGCTGTTGATTTTCTAGGAGCTTGCTGTGGGTGGTTTTCACTGGCTGTTCTCATTGTTGGAGGAGCTCGGGACCTTGCTGTTCAGTGGGCATGACTGCTGTTCTCATCAGGGGATCTCTGATCTTCACCGTGAGCATCACTTCCTGGCTCCAGTGCAGATCCCTCAGCCTGGTGGCACAAATCCTTTACCCTGGGGGTATAGATTTTTCTGGCTTCCACCACTGGCCTTTGGGCCTTCTGGGTGCAGATCCTCAATACGGACAAGCATGAAACATTGTCATGGGCTCTAGGCCACTGGCTGAACTTGTGGAGGACACTGCCTTGGACTCCAAGCCTTTACCTGGACTTGTGTGGGACATTGCCATGGGATCCTGGCTCTTGGCTGGATTCTTTGGGCCTCTATTTTGCGTTTAATCTCTTGCATTCCTTTGTATTTCACTTTTGCGGTAATTATAAAATAATCCTATAAACTATGCATCCTGTATTAAATCTATTTCCTTTGTAAACCCTGACTACACAATAGGAAAAGCCATATCCTTAGAGCTTCATATCATTAAATGCCCCCCCCATGTTTGTGGCACTGGGGATGGAACCCAGGGCCTTTGCACTGAGCAACAACACCAGCCCTTTTAATTTTTTTCAGACAGGATCTCACTAAACCACTAAATGTCCTAGGCTAGGCTCAAACTTTCTTTTTAAAAAATTTTTATTTTTATTATTGTATATTTGGAGTACAAAATGATTACATTCATTGTGGGGAGTTGGTACAGGTATATACCACATCCGGATTCTTTTTATGCCCCCCATCTCTTGGTCCTCTTGTTTGCAAAAGATCTCACTATTTCCTATCATCTATCTTTTCTTTTGCTCTTTGATTGATTTCTACTTTGGTTTCTCATATAAAAGAAACCATGGAATATTTAAGCCGTGGGTATGATTTATTTCACTTAACATTATAGTCTCAGGGTTGAATTTTCAGTCCTCCTACCTCAGCCTCCCAGAGTGCTGATCTTATAGGCAAGGCACGCATTATGGCTTGCGTTTAGATGTCCACCCACCCCAGGCCTCATGCAAATGAGATGGGGCTATTTTGGAGGTGGCTGAAACTACAGTGTATGATGCTGGGATTAAGGGCCTGTGATTACTAAACCACTACATGTGAGTGATTAGTTTGGCACCGCCCTAATCCCTGTAGTCTGAAAACTTCTCTTGTTAAACTTCTCTTGTTGCTTTTGCTGCTTCTGCTGTCATTAACTGTTGCCCTCTGCCACCCTACCTTGGAGCCAGCTGATAATGGACTGAAACCTCTTCAAACTGTCAGCCAAAACAGCTTTCTCCCTTTAACTTTGGGTGTCAGGTATTTTTGTCTGAGTGACTAGATAAAGAAGTTTGGTTCTAGAGAAGTGGGGTCGTTGTTGTGACATTACCTGTCCACGTGGCTCAAGAGGCTTTGGAACTGGACTGTGGGAAGAAGAGTTAGGAAAAGTTTGGAGATGCTGACTGAAGAAGAGCTGGAATGCCTTAGGCGGTTCTGTATGGGAGATTCTGGGCAGAGCTCAGAAAACCAGAAATCCAGGAAAGACCAGGCTCAGGAGGTTTCTGCTGGGAAGAAGGACTGCACTGGCTGCTGGACTCCAGATGATGTGTTACGCATTGGCAGAAAGTTTGTCTGCATTTTGTTCATGTCCGGAGACTTGGCCTGAGACTGATATTAAGGGAGGCAGACTAATTAATCTCACAGAAGAAATTTTAAGGCAGGCTAATGTTGAAGCCATGGCATGGCTACTGTTGGGGGCTTTTAGCCAGATCCATGTTGAGAATCAAGAACAAAGAGCCCAAGGCCAGAGACCGCAGCACCACTGAGCTAAATCAAGTGACTGTTTTTTTTGTTTGGTTGGTTGGGTTTTTTTGGTTCCTGGGATTGAACTCGGGTCCTTGTGCTTGCAAGGCAGGCCACTGAACCGCTGAGCTAAATACCCGGCCCTCAAGTGACTATTTAAAGCAAAAGCAATAACCATGCACTGTGGTGCTTCTACAGTTAGAATTTATACATATGTCAACAGTAGCACCAAAGAGGGGATAAAGAAATTAGAAGTTGATTGCTAATTACTTTATATATGAAGTGGAAAACAGGGCATAGTGGTATTCATCTGGAACCCCAGCACTTGGGAGGCTGAGGCAGGTGGTCTGCCACAAATTCAAGACCAGCCCAGACTACACAGTGAGTTCAAGGATAGCCCACACTAGATAGCAAAACCCTACTTTAAGAAAACAAACAAACAAAAATAAATAAAAATACAATCAGTGGAATAATATTAAAGATTAACCGATGGGCCGGGGATTTAGCTCAAGTTCAATCCCCGATAGAAAGAAAGAAAGAAAGAAAGAAAGAAAGAAAGAAAGAAAGAAAGGAAGGAAGAGGGAGGGAGGAAGGAAGGAACGAGGGAAGGAAGGAAGGAAGGAAGGAAGGAGAAAGAAAGAAAGAAAGAAAGAAAGAAAGGAAGGAAGGAAGGAAGGAAGGAAGGAAGGAAAGAAGGAAGGAAGAAAAAAATTAACTGAGATATTATTTTTTGGAAATAAAAAGAATCTAGAAATATGCCCAATTTGCCAAAACCATGTTGATTGAGGTAATAAGGACTATAATCCACAAATATACTTGTGTAAAGCACAGGAGACAATGAGAAGAGATTTTTCTAGCAAGTCCACAGCACCTTGCCATGAAGCGACCTGTTCCATTACTTTTCTGCTGCCCAGTAGATTATAATAGAAATAAGTCCCCCAAACGATGAAAAGGCTGTTCACACCAACGCTGAAGAGCTACAAAGGGCCACCTTCCCATTGCAGGGAGGCAGGTGCTCTACAGCCAGGCCTGTGACTCTGAGCCAATCTCTACTACCTGAGCCTCAGGGGACCCCTCTCACAGCGTTGTCGAGGAGATGGAAGACAGAACCAGACCATACACTTTCAAGAGCACTCAGCACAGAGTAAACACTAAAACATGCTATCCATGCTATCAAGATTGTGCTGAAGGAAAAATCAAACACTGAGATATTTCAGGGTGGCTGTGTGTGTGTGTGTGTGTGTGTGTGTAGTGGTGGTGCTGAGGCATGAAACCGAGGGCTTTGTGCATACTAGGCAAGTGCTCTACCACTGAGCTACACCTTTAGCCCTTCAGAGTGATTTCTTTTTTAATCAGGAGACATACGATATTCTAGTATCAAAGAAGACTACAAAAGTACCATCCTGGGACGAAATTAGTTCTCACTTACTGTTAATAGACAAGTCAGTAGTTTGTGAATTCAAAGTAAGCTATGCCAGGCATGGTGGTGCACACCTATAATCCCAGCACTCTGGGAGGCTGAGTCCAGCCTGGGTCAATTTAGCAACTTAGTGAGACTCTGTCTCAAAAACTAAAAAATAAAAGGGCTGGGGACGTAGCTCAGCGTGAAGGCCCTGGGTTTTAACCCCAGTACAAACCAAAAACAAAAAAACACTAATCTAAAACTCTCCTGTCTTAAATCTTGGAGGGCACAGGCAGAGGTTCCAAGAGTAAGAGTCAGCTTTTTGGTGCATCTGGAGAGCTGAACAATGGGGAATCAAATAGTATATTTTCTGTTGAGGGTGGGAATGAGACAGGGTCTGGCTATGTAATCCACGCTGGCCTTGAACTCACTATGTAGCCCAGGCTGGCCTCAAACTCATGACAATCCTCCTGCCTCAGCCTCCCGAGTGCTGGGATTGCAGAGGTGTATCACTACGCCCACACAGCAGATCTTTTAAAAAGCAGAATTGTGTCTAAAAAGAAAATGCACAATTTTTTGTACACAATTCAAAACTCTCTTAAGGATTATCAAGCTGGGCTTTCATGCTTTCTGTTTTGAAAAATGTGAACAGCCAATTGTGAAATGGAACAGCACTAGACACTGAAAGAGATAGAGTCCAGGGAAGTCCACTGCCCCTCAGAGAAGGCAGAATCAGGGCACTGTGGCAAAAAGTTCAAAGTATAGGATTCTTGTCACCCACTTGTGAGTTTGCACCTTCTAGGATCCAGTGCTTGGCAGCCGAGCACAGGTGGACCTTGGTTCCTGCTCATCTGAGACTCACCTTGGTCTCTCTGGGGATGGGTTGGGGCTTCGGGGAGGAGGTGTACGAGGCACAGCTGGCTTTGGAGCAATGCTGGCTGCAGGGAGGAGGCCATGCACGATGTGTCTCTGCACAAACAAAACCCAGCATAAGTCAGTGGGCTAAGAGAAATCACCTGGCTACTGTCACCACCACTACCTACCCAGAGGTACACAGCCCCTTTCCAGCACATCCAGCAGGGACCACCACCACCACGGTGCCCCTTGGAGGGACCTCCATCTCTCCTTCCTCAGCTCTCCTGAGCATCCCCAGGGTCGCCTTGCAGCCCCCTTCCACTTGTCCCACAGCCCTACCCACAGTGGGACTTCCCATGCCTTCCCCCTGCAGGTAGGAGTGACTTCCGGAGAAACATGCCTCACCCTTATCAACCCTAGATAACCTAGCTCTAGCTCTGAGTACACACTGACCCACATCTGTAGGAGCTTAGGGAAAATTTTAGGTAGCTCATCTCAAAGATGCAGAGTAAGAGCCAGGAATAATGACCCACACCTCTAATCCCAACACTCTGAGAGGCTGAGGCAGGCGAATTGGAAGTTTGAGCTCAGCCTGGGCAACCTAACTCAAAGTATAAAAAAAATTTTTTTTAAAGAGCTGGGAGCTGAGTATGATGGCACACACCTGTAATCCCAGCACTCTGGAAAGCTAAAGCAGGAAGAATGCAAGTCTGAGTACAGCCTGGGCAATTTAGCAATACCCTGTCTCAGAAAGAAAATACTCCCATCCAGACAGAAGTACTGTTCCCCACTCAGGGAACACTGAACTACATTCTCAGCTACGCATTTATACATATTTATTTCTTTAGAGACGGGCACTCGCTAAATTGCCCAAACCGGGCTTTAACTTGGGATCGTCCTTCCTCAGCCTCCCCAGGGATGGAATTACAAGCAGGCACCACCACACCGGGCTAAAATAAAGAGATTCCGAGCTGAAAACCATTTCCTTCTGTGCCGCCGCCTTACTTTAACCCCAGACCAAACCCCAAACGCGCCCCAAAATCTCACCTCCTACCTAACTTGCAGCCCCAGGGGGCCGACGAACAGGACAGGATTGATTGTACTTACGAACTGGCTCCTGCGGGATCTCCGAAATCCCAGGAGCATTCTTGCTGCGGGAAATGGCCAAGCCAAGGGCTGGATTTATGAGTCGCTATCTCCAGAGCCAGGGACCGTTCCCTAAAACTGGTTCTACGCCCACTGGACGAACTCCAGACACTTTCTACCCAAGCAACTTCACAACAACCACGCCCGCCACTGGCTGTGTTTTGTTTTCGACCAATCAAAGCTAAGGTTACTTCCATACCCGTCGCTCTTGGCAACTAGCGTGTCTCATTCAAATCTCCACAATCGCGGAAGCTTGCTGAGCTGTCTGTTCTTTTATTGGTCAAATCAGGTATCAATCCTAGACACCACAGCCTATCCGACACTGTGGGAGGAGGAGGGAGGGCAGGATGAAAAACTGGGCAGGAGCAGTTGATGAGAACCCGGAAGTGGTGCAGGCTCCTGGACTGGACCGAAGAGCCAGGGTGCGGACTCAGCTGGGGTATCAAGGGCCAGGCAGGTGCAAAAAGCAAGGGATGAAGCCACCAGGCTTCCCGGTTCTTAGACTTGGCAAACTAATCAGTCTTTCACTGACCATTCTGTAGCCGGAATCTTGCCAAAGGGGGCCGGCATAGAGGGGAATGTGGGGCCGTGTGCAAAAGAGCCTTTCAACTGCAGTCTTGCATTTGCCTCATTAGATCAAGACCACCGATGGACAAGAACCACGCCCCCGCCGATGGCATGGAGCCGGTGCACGTGCCTTTCGGGCACATTGTAGCCAATGAGAAATGGCGTGGGTCGCAGCTGGCGAGAGAGATTCAAGGTCGGTGGGTTGAGCTGCTTTCCACTGCCAAGCCCTTTTCTCACCATACATTTAACCAAAGTTCACAGAACTCATTTTGTTGTCTGTACTTTAAGGGAAAATTAAACTCGTTTTTGAGGATGGCCTGACAGTAGTAGATTTTTACCTGTCCAGCAGATCTTGCATTCTCTACATCACCGAAGCTGATTTAGTGGCAGGAAATGGCTACAGAAAGAGACTTGTTCGGGTCAGAAATGTAAGTATTGAATTCAAGAAACTGAAAGAGAACATTGATTCGTATCCTCCTAACTCCACCCCCAACCCCTTGAACTAATAATGTCTGTAATCCCATTGGTCATCCCAAGCCAATGATAGAGCCATCAATAATGTGATAGGCTTTCTTAATTTTGAAAGGAAACTCGTTACTAAATGGTTTTTATTTTTGTTTGAAGTCTCATAATCTTCAAGGGATTGTAGTAGTTGAAAAAACGCAGATGAGTGAACAGTACTTCCCAAACATACAGAAGTTTACTGTGCTGGACCTTGGGATGGTGTTGCTTCCAGTGGCCAACCAGGCAGAGGCATCCTGCCTCATTGTCCAATTAGTAAGTATAGATTCCTCCTTCACAATAGCCTGGTCCTCCTGCAGATTCTCAGCTCGCTTTGATGGATCATTTTACTCTAGCTATAGTTGTAACCCATGGTTCCAATCTGTGTCAAAGTTCAGCAGCCAGCTGAGCCTGCCACCCACTTCAGGCATATGTATAACAAAGCAAACAAGTTGAAGATCTAATTTTAGGCTCCCAGGCTAATGTGATAATTCGTTATCCCACACTTAATGCTGGTGAACTTTTTAAAAAAGAGTGACAGCTGGTAGTGCAGCTCGGTGGTAGAGCTCTTATCTAGCATCTATGAAACCTTGGGTTTAATCCTCAGTACTATACACACACACACACACACACACACACACACTCACAAAGTGATACATGCGGTTTACCTCTGACCAACTGAAAATCAGAACATGGGGACAGGGCCTGAGCATCCATTTTTCTTTTTAAATCCCCTCTCTGAAGTGTAGCTTGGAGAACCAAATTGAAAATGCAAGCATCCCTGTGTGGTTCACAGATTTCCCTCCACTGCATCATTGGGTTCCTTATTCCTGACCTCCTGATGCTGTATCAACTGTATCGGATGATGCTACTATCTGCCTTGGTAGAACCACCACTGAGTTAAGTGGTTTTTCCTTTTTTTTTTTTTTTTTTTTTTTTTTTTTTTTTTTTTTTGGTTTTTTTGAGACAGGGTCTCACTATGGTAGTGAGACTGACCTGGAACTCACTGTGTAGCCCAGGCTGGTCTCGAACTCACAGCATTCATCCTGCCGCAGCCTCCCGAGTGCTGGGATTACAGGCATGCACCACCACGCCTGGCTCAGTTTTTCCTTTGATAAGCAAGCTTCCCAAAGGTCATGTATGAAGCTGTTCTCATTTAGATACTGGGTGTGAATGTTTAAATTAAAAATTTTAAAAATATTGCATTAAAAGACACATTGCCAGGCCGGGGATTTAGCTCAGTGGCACCACTCCTGCCTCACAAGCACAAGGTCCTGAGTTCGATCCCCAGTACAAAAAAAAAAAAAAAAAAAAAAAAAAAAGATGCATTGTTGTCAGTCCCTCAAAATACTCCACCTCGCTTCAAAAATACCCATCATTTTTGCCACTTTCTGAAGCATTTCTGGAAGTCCTCTTTCGTGAGTATATTTTCATGGCTGCCTCAGTATACTGAGTTCAAAACTTTTATGACTATTTCTGTCAAATAAAAACATTGTCCACCTTGTCCACCTTATTCATTGGATCTGGCATCGTGTGACTTCTGGCTCTTATGAAAGATTAACATTTTGAATTTATTCAGGACATTGAGGTAGCCACTGTAGCACAACTAAAGATATTCACAAAATAAAGGCAATGGTAGTAATTTTTAAAGATTCACTTATTTTGCTGATGTCTGAAGACATATTCATGGCATTTGAAAACATTTGAACACACAAGTCAAGCCCAATCAAATGGAAAAACTCAATTTTAAGAAAAGTGCTAGTTCTCCAGAGGGCGCTTATGTGCTTTTTCCCTTTATTTCCGGTTCAGGTTCAAGAGCAAACCAAAGAGCCCAGTAAAAACCCTTTTCTCAGGAAGAAACGGGCTGTGCTCTCCGAGCCATTTCTTCTTCGAACTGTGCAGCAGATCCCAGGAGTTGGAAAAGTTAAAGCTCTTCTTCTGCTCCAGAAGTTTCCAAGTATCCAGCAACTGAGTAACGCTTCCATCCAAGAGCTCCAGCAGGTGGTTGGACAGGCAGTAGCTCAGCAAATCCACATCTTCTTCACTCAGTCCAGGTGACTGCTGGCCTCCCAACTATGATGTTTTTCTCTTTTAGACCACAAACTACAAGATCGTTTTCATATTTAAAAAACCAGAAACAATTTCTTTTCGCAGCAACTTGTGAAACACAAGGAGAGGCCTAATGGAGAATGAATTGTACTGCTTTGGGCATTGAAGTTAGTGGCCACAGGTGACACTACCTCATTCTGCCAAGATGAAAAGATCCACGAGGATCTTCCTTTGCTGAGACTCTCATTCTGAGCAAAAATCTAGCTAAGGCAGATTTCTGATTGACTTTGACCTACATCTGCCATGGGAAGATCTTGTAAAGTTCCGGTACTGGATGTGACCATCTAAAGGAAACTAACCTACAATGAAGCACTGTGTACGCTAAGTCCCTTGTTCCTGGTGGCAGTTGCTGCTCTTCAGGCCTGGTCTGCATATGCTGTGCTCTGAGGGCTGCTGCCAATGTAAATAAACAAATGTACAACAGTCCTTTCCTTTGTGCCCTCATCCCTCCCTTCCTGTTTTTTGGAGGGAAGGGATAGTCACACAGTCTGTTTGTAACTACTGGCTGTGTCTTCTGAACAGAGAAATCCTGGGGTTTGAAATTCCTCGTTTAGAGGTCAAAACTTAATGTGCAAAGAAGAAGGTGTTTGTACACCTGTGGCGCAACAATAGGAGGATACACCAGAAAACATCAGAGGGTGCTGCAGACTGCGGGGGAGCCAGGGACTGAGGATCCAAGGGCACAACTGCCCATTCAAAAAATACACACACTAAAAATGCCATATGTTTTTAAAAATACCTAGATAAGTTAAGGTAAGTTAATGTTAATGTTTAAAATTCAAAAACAGGGCCGGGGATTTAGCTCGTGGTTCTTCCACCTGCCTTGCAAACGCAGGGACCTGAGTTCAATCCCCGGTACCAAAAAATAAATAAATAAATAAAATTCAAAAACATCTTTGTGCATTAGGGTGATATTTATTTGAAAGATAGAATTAAAGTGACAAAAGCAAAAAAAAAAAGTCAGATAAATGTGTTTATTTAAATATTTATACAAACATGGTCCTATGAGCAGTGGGTAGATACACTTTCCCAAAGGTGGTTGCCTCCCTTAAGATATTGCACAATATAAAATATTTAAATTCTCATTATTTCTCAAAATTAGATTTCAATGCTATATTTTTAAGCTATATCACTTTTACTATGTCAACCATGAATCCTATTAGACCACGGTGTCATCCAATTTATAGGCAGAGAAATCAAACTAGTAAGAATGCTCATTTTAAAAAGTCAGAGCTTTAAACTTGAATCATTTACATCTTCACCATATAAAATGTAAAGCTATTTTACCCAAGACTCTTAAAATATAGTTATGTACTTTCTACTTCAAACAAAATGAAAATGTTTTGAGTATCAAACAGTATATTATCTACCCTGTAGACAGCATCTCCATCTAACACTGCCACTGTGTTAGCAACTTGTAAATGGTATCAAACTGGAGGAAAACTGCTCCTAAATTTTATTTTTATTTTTTGGTAGTACTTTTTTTTTTTTTTCTTTTTTTGGCATTGCCTCCCCCCCAAAAAAAGAATAATTCAAGACAAAATTGGTACTAGACTTTACTGGGAAATAGCACTCATATTACGTAGAAATAATGGCAACATCTTCTTTTAAGTTAATGAATTCCATGAAGAAGCAGCTCTTTAGAACAGTTTTTAGTAACAAATTTCATTCTATCATTATAGTCCTCTGACCTGCCTTAATTCAAGGGTCATCTGAATTCTGGGTTAAGAAAAGATTATTACCCAAACCTGAAGAGTTAACAAACAGTACTAATGTAGCTAACAATTTAACGCTGAGAGTACTTACAAGTGGTCACTGTAACCATTAAAAACAGCCATAATTCCAACACTACTCTATATAATAGAATAAATAACCTGCAGCAATACTGATACTCCTTAAGTGTTTCCCACAAGCTTAAGAAGTTTCTTGTTACTTTCATAAAAGCACATCAAACACATGTGACAAAATGGGATTTGAAAATATTGAGATACACTGCATTATGGCACAAATGTGAAGGCCCAGCGGACCCCGGAAGTGACGGTTTCTGCTTCCTGTCAGTATACAGAGCTGTCAGAGTGAAGCAGGCTGAACGGAGTGGAGAGCTTCTTCTTGGTGTGAGGCCTCTCCACCCCCACTGTGGGGAGGCACAAGGTGCTGGCTGACTTCCGTTGGTTCTTATTGGTGCCCCAACTCAAAAACGAAAGCTTTTTTGAGATTTTCTTGGTTTTACCAGTTTTATCATCATCATCTATAGCTAAGCAGATCATGGAGTAAGTTTTCTGCATTCCCACAGAGTATGTGGCACACTTATTATGCTGCACAGAGAAAAAGAAGAAAGGAGGTTAGACATCTTCAAGATGCCTAATGAGTGACTATAAAGTTTCAGACACATTCTGCACCTACAGCATACTCTTAATTAAGAGGATATCATTCTAAAACCCAGGTGACGGATGCTTACACAGAATTAGGCTCTTAAAAGCAAGGACAATTTTTAAGGAATATACTCAGTAGTAATGATTTAGGCTTCAGAACAACTAATCATTTTTTTAAGCTTATTGTATTTGAGAAATATATAGCAATGGTCAACAAATGAGTACAGTGCACAGCAGGTCTTCTCACCCTGGCTTCCCGGTGACTCCTCTGAGGTAACCATTGTGTTAGACTTCTGGCGATAACGTACATACAGGAGCATATGTATGTGTGCACAAGGATGTTTCACCATTTGTCTGGGGCAGGGTGTGCGGGGGATTGAACCCAGGGCCTTTGCACTGAGCTCCACACCCAGCTAGCTCTTTTAAAAATATTTTTACTTTGAGGCAAAGTCTCACTGAATTTCCCAGGCTGGGCCTGAACTTGTCATCTTCCACCTCAGCCTCCCACAGTGCTGAGATTACTGGCACGAGCCACCACCACCTGGCTACCTCTTGTCGTAAAAGGCATGTACCACACACATTTTCTACACTTTGCTTTCTTCATTTAGCAGAATTTAAGATTTCAATCCATGCTAATAAGCATAAGTCAATTTCATTCTCTTTAAAAACAATACAAAAATCCAAGAAGATACTGCTATTAACTTTTTCCCTTGTGACTTACCAATTTAATTTAATTAAATGTGCAACTCAGCTTCAATAAACACGTTCACACTGTTACACAACTATCACCATCCATCTACAGAACTTTTTCATTTTCCTCGCCTGAAACTCTGTACACAATAATTATCTTTGAAAAAATTATATAAGCCTCAAGTAGGAAATCTAAGGAAATGGTTTTCTAAATCACTTGTCTCTAAGGCTGGCCTGATATTGAGACAGTGTTGGCCACCCAGTGTTTATTGAACATCTATGTTCCAGGCACTAAACCAGGCCATTTACAAAAACGTACCAAGGTAGGATCTGTGATCATAAAATACAATGAATGTTTACATTTTTTTTAAATGTAGTAAACACCACTATAATTATTTGCCATTAATCCTCCTCAAAATACCTCCCTGTTGCTTCAAACACACTTATCCCCATTGTTCTTGCCAATTTCTGCAGCAACTCTGAGATACCCTCTCCTCCCTCCTCAGGCCACTCACATGTTCTCCTTACATGACATCCCTGTCTTGTACTTAACGGCATCTGTCCCCAGAGATCAAGGCTTCCTGAGGCTGGATTCTACTCCTTTTCTCTCCAACCAGCCCACTAGCCTACTGACTGTACAGATTTGCCCATTCTGGACATTTTCTATCAATGGAATTATAAAACCCATTCATTCACAAGCCCTCTCCAACCTGATTCTTCTTGTCATCATTCCACAAACACTGTCCACTTGTCCTGCTGCCAAATGGAATAGACAGACTCAGTTTCTCTCATTCACCACCTCTTAATTCAAATCAACTGATCACTCCCTGCTGTAAGATTTTCTTCTCTCTCTCTTTTTCCATTACTGGAGATTGAACCCAAGGCCTTCACATTGAGCCACATTCCCAGACCTTTTTTATTTTTTAATTGACACAGGATCTCACTACGTGGCTAAGTTGCCCAGGCTGGGCTGGAACTTGTGATCCCCCAGCCTCAGCCTCCCAGAGTGCTGGGATCACACACATGCGCCACCACACCTAATTTTTTCTTGACTCCAGAAACTCCTTCTAACCTCCCTCAAAGTTCCTGTGCACCTACTTCTCTTCTAACTGGCCTCTAAATGCTCGAGGTGTCTCAGGTTCTGTACACATCCCTCTGGTGAGTTCATCTTGCCTCACAGCTCTAAATATCATCTCTATGTTGATGACTCTGAAATATTTACGTTTAGCTCTGACTTCTCCCTTGAAGACTTGAACACTCAACTGCCTACCTTTCACATCTGCTGACCAACAGCACCTGAAACATCCAAAGCCCAGCTCATTTTCTATCTCCTTTACGTCCCCAGCCCTGGTTCCCCATGTGATGAAAAAGACCCGCTGCCCACACAGTTGCTGAAGCTAGAAACTGGGGCACCCCCTCCCTGCCCTCCATCTCTCGGCCCCACCTCCAAAATACCTCTCAGGTGCACCATCCTCTCTCCCCTCCACTGCCCCATGCCTGACCACTGGACAAATGCCCTGGCTGAGCTCCTGAGCAGACATTCTTCCAAAGAAAATCCTATACCACCTCACTGCCGCCAGAGGGGCCATTGCCTTCCACACCACCCACCCCTCCCACTCCCCCAGCGCGCTCACCCGTGGCACAGTGCTGTCACCAAAAGGCCTTCTCCCTGGGGCTGGCAGGGGAAGCCCATCCTACAGCAGGGCCTCTGCCCGATGCACTCTGCTCACCTCCAGCGCTCATCCTTCTTGTCACTTGGGTCAGCTCCAGCCCAGTGCAGGAGTCTCTCCCCACCCTAGACCTCTGACCACATGTTTTCTTTTCCTCTAGCAGTTATCAAATCACAACCACATATTCGCTTATTTGGTGCCAGCTTCCTGGGGTCAGGGACCTGCTCTGTCTACTTGGAGCTGAAGCTCCAACACCTACCAGTGCCTGGCATCAGTGCTATGATTGGGGTATGGTTTGTTCCCCAAAGGCTCACATGTGGGAGCCTGGTGCTCAATGTGGCACTGTTGGAGTTGAGTCCTTTACCCAGCAGGAAGTCCTTAGGTCATCTGGGGACATCCCCTCACAAGACAGACTTGGGTGGCTCTGGCTTCCTGTTTGGGGATTTGGTTTTTTTTGTTTTGTTTTGTTTTTTTGTTTTTCAGTACTGGAGATTGAACCCAGGACCTTCACACTTGGCTATATCCCCACTCCTTTTTTTTAAATTTTGAGACAGGGTCTCACTAAGTTGCCCAGGCTAGGCTCAAAGTTGTGATCCTCCTGCTTCAGCCTCCCAGAGCGCTGGGACCTCCTACTTCAGGATCTGATCTCTCCCTCCACGTGTGCTCTCACCATTAGGTCCTCACCAAAGAACAAATCAATAGAGCTGCCTGATCTTGGACTTTCAGCCTCCAAAACTGTGAGCTAAGGAAGCTGCTTTTTTCCTAAGTACCCAACCTTAGCTGATTCACTAGAGTAACAAAAGCACTATCACACACACAGCGGACAATCAGTATTTGCTGAATGAATAAATGCTGTTACATTTACACTGTTAGGAGCAGCAATGTTCAGGAGAATCTCAGATGTGATTCCTAGAGCTGGGGAAGAGTTAAAGGGTCTAATTGTGCACATGAATTTGGAGAAGCATCAAATACTTCCAAGGTCTCCCAGGAAACCATGCTGCCTCTGAGGTATGGAGGGGACTTTTGCCTGCTGTCTTAACACCTTCTGTAGAGTCTGAACATTTTTTCTATCATATGTGTTTTTTAATAGAATTTAATCAGAAAAACAAATCCACTGATTATTTTATCTATCGGATTAAACCTTTAAAAAGTTTCCAAATGACCGCTCTGACCCGGTGAGCACACCGCCATGTTTAAGATGAGGCCCTGGGAAAGGCCGCACTCCACACTGCATTCACCACTGCGGCCCCTGCGCTCACCATGGATGACGTGGAATCCAGGAGGCTCACGACCTTCATCTCAACCTCCTCCCCACCGAAGCTCTTCAGCAGCTTCATAACCTCGCTCACCATCAGCCACTTACAATCCACACCTTGAATGGAAATGATATAATCTCCTTCCTTGGTTCCTGCCATCTACAAAAATATTGTTTAAATAAAGGTCAGTGTTTTGTGCACTTAATTCCAAGTCAGTTCCCAGCAGACATGTGCATAAGTTTGTTTCAAGACAGCACAAACAGGGCTGGGGATTTAGCTCAGTGGCACCGCACCTGCCTCACAAGCACAAGGTCCTGAGTTTGATCCCCCGTACCCCAAAAAAAAAAAAAAAAAAAAAAAAAAAAAGACAGGGCAAGCATTTGTTCTTTGTTCTTTGGGCATGGAGCACCCAGAAGGCTCTGGCATCCAAAGTCAGGCCTTTGACATAGGTGAGCCCTGGTAGGTGTCTGAGCTGCTTCTTTGTGTACCCTCAGCTGGAGAGCGATGGGCTTACCGCAGCAGAACAAGAAGGATCCAGAAAGTGGACTTGAACAGGGGTGTTGCCTCGCAAGGTGAACCCCAGGTCGCCTTCCTCCAAGTTGAAATGAATGCTTCGGGGAGGTGTCCACCTCTTGTTAGCCGAAAACAAAGACAGGGGACCCTTTGGAGGAGAGCATCATTAGGATGAGTGTTTGAGGACTGAATGAGACTTTTTTTTGAGACAGGGGTCAGTCACGCTATATTATGTCACACAGTCTGGTCTCAAAGTCATGACAGCTCAAAGGATCCTCCTGCCTCAGTCTCCTGAACAGCCGGACCTGTAGGTGCCCTGTGCCTTGTTCTGAACCAGACCTGTGGAAGCTAAAGAGGAACACTGCCTGCTGTCCTGACCTCCTTTGGCCTTGGTGAGAGGCTAACGATACCATCTGAAGCAACAGGTGCTACCACAGGCATGCAAGAATACTGATTGCCATTTTCTCTAACATATCCAATGTATTTAAAATATTATCTTCTAAAAAGTATCTCAATTAAAATTATCTTAAGTCAGGTGCCATGGTGCAAGTCATCCTGGCACTCAAGAGGTTGAGGCAGGAGGATTTCAAGTTTAAGGGCAGCCAGGGATACACAGTGAGACCTTGACACAAAAACAACAAACGAAACAAAACCAAGTCTTAAATAAAACCTTTAACATAAAACCCCACAAATACCTAAATATAGAGCTTTTAAAATATGCTATGGTCTGAAAGTTTTTGTCTCTCCCAAATTCTGTGTTGAAACCAACGTGATCATTAGGATCGGGCCTCCTGGGAGGTGAACAGGTCACGAAGTGGAGCCCTCAATAGCGGAATTGATGCTCATGTAAGTGGGCTCCGTGGAGCCACTCGTCTCTGCCACCTGAGGACAGAGTAGGAAGGTGCCATCTCCAAGTCACGAAGACCTCACCACACCCTGAATCTGCTGCTGACTTGACCTCGGACCTCTCAACTGGCAGAACTCAGGGACAGAAATTTCTGTTGTGTAAAAGCCATGTGGTTCACAGTATTTCGTTACCAGCCTGGACAGGCTAAGACAATATACTCGGAAAATAGAAAAGCTCTCCTCTTAGGTCATTTATGAAATAGGTGTTCAACATACCAGCTTCTGGAAGAAGTCCGTTACTGTCACTTTGGAGAACTGGGGCAATACCATTTCAGCCTCTTGTTCCGTCTTAGCTAGAAAATGAAAAAAATCAATGCTTCTGTAATGGAATGTGATCCTTTACAATGCAGGTCTTCAGCCTTCTGTCCAAACAGAAGACAAAGCAATGCTCTCTCCTGGCCATGTGTGACTCGCCTTGGTTGGGAGAGTAGCACAGAAGATGGAACCCTGCTCACCCGTGGCTGTGTCATTGTGCCTTCCACTGGGCCACAATAAAGCCCTAACCTGTTTAGGGCCAGGACAGAGAAGTAACAACCAGACACGTTCCTGACCTCCAAGGAGCCTACTGCTCTTCTGGTGGACTTCCGTTGCCACTCTGTGGAGAAATGACCTGTTTCAGATGCAGCTCTCAGTACGCAGCCCTGGCATAATGGGCTTCCTGTTCTCATTATTAATGTGTGACGTGAGCATTTCCCAGTGATCCGTGGCCCGTGTTCTGACATTTCCATAAAATCCCCAAAGGACAGGGCTCAGAGTCGCTTCAGGAGAGCTGAACACAAGGTGATGCCCAGCAGGAGAAGCACCAGGAAAGGGTGCAGAGGCTCAGCACCCCTCCCTCTGCCTTATTGTATCCTTCGTGAGACGCTCGTAATGAACCTGGAAGTGGGTTTCCCTGAGTTCTGTATGTCATTCTAGGAAACTGTCCCCGAGGAGGAGATGGGGGAAGCCTGGTGAAACCACCCAGGGCTTGTGAGTAGCATCAGATGGACAGGGAGTCCTGGAAACGGGGCCCTCAGCCGGGGGGACACGACACTACCTCGGGGTGGACAGTGTGGGTACCGAACTGGGCTAGAGAGCACAGTGTCAGCTGGGGGACTGCTCGCCTGCTGGGTGGAGGCAACCACCCCTCACCTGGTGTCGGGAAGGATCTACCTTGTGAGCGTGCAGCGGGAGAAGTGGAGCCTGAGTAGTTTTTCCTCTGTGTCCTTGGGAGATTTTGACAAAGGGGATCCCAGTCCTTTCCCTCCCTCACTATAAAGCCATTCCCCTAAGGAGGCCCTCACACTCCCACTGTCCCAGCCACGAGTGACCACCACGATCCGAGGGCAGCAGCAACTGCCCAGTTCACTCTGCACTCCTGACCCATGAGGGTGCCCACACCCCAGAGATGCCGACAGATGGTGGTGGTGATGGAATACGAAGAACACAGGGTTAGGAGCAAGCCCAGGAAGGGTACTAGGAGGCTGTCTAGGGAGTGGACAGTAAAAGAGAGAAGAACAGTTTTCTAGAAGGCGGCTACAATGTTCGTGGTGTGGAGCCTCTGAAGGCATCAGAGAGAAAGATGAGTTCCCAGGGTCTTGGGATGACAGAGATGGCTGAGCCCCAAAGGAGTCCTGAGACCTCGTAGAAAGGGCTCCAGAGAAGGCAAACCAGGGAGAGCAGATGGTAGAAAGGGCCAGGATGGGCAGGACCATACTAGAAATGCAGTCAGCCCAGGGGACAGAGAATGTGGGCTCGAGGGACCCACATGGTAGGCACCCCAGGAAGTGTCCAGGGGCAGGAGAGGAGCAGGGGCCGCACAGGCATCATGGGAAGGAAGACCATGCAGAAGCCCCTGGATGCGGGGATATCGGAGAGGGAAAGGCCAGGGAAAGGGAGGTGCCCGGCCGCTCCCTGTGCAGCCCTGCAGGATGAGCAAGCACAGTGTGAACAGCAGGCGCCCAGCCTCCCGCAAGGGTGCATTCCACACACGTGCAGGGTCTCAGGGCTGGCCACTCACAGACAATGCCGGGCGCATCAGCCAAGTTCAGGAGATCGTCGTCCTCCTGGTGCTCAGAGTGCTTGAGCCTCGTGCGCTGGTGTGCGGCCCACAACACCTCCCGAAGCACCTGGATGTCACGCAGCTTCTTGCACAGGCTGGCCTCCCTCACCGACTCCTCATGGTGGGTGATCGCTCTGCGCAGGTGGCACTTTCCTGCAGGAAGAAGACACCACCCATGTGTTTATGGCATGTGACTACAACACAGAGCACCACAGGGCCCGAGGACAGGCCCAAGAAGGTAGACACTGTCCTTTCTAAAGGATCTGCTGGGACGGCCAAGGGCCCTCTGAGATGCGGGCTCACTTGCGTCCATTAAACACTCACTCAACAAACACTCACAGAATGCCCTAAGTACTACAGATAAGTCATGACCAAAAACTTGCCCCCAAGTTCATGGAGTTACACATTACTGGATGAAGACGGATAATTAACAAAGAAATATGTAATGGATCATGTGACAATAAGGTTACAGAGAAAAAAATAAAGCAGAGTAGGAGGGTGTGGTGAGACTGGGAGTAGAAGCTATTCTATGATAGTGGACAAGGAGGAGTTTTTAACTAACTTGTTTGACTATATATTTTTATTTTTTAATTTAGCTTTTTTGTGCTTTGTTCTCTGTTTGACAGGTTAACTCTTGAGCCAGAACCCTGAAGGAAGTGAAAGAGCAGCCATGAAGATATCTGACAGAAGAGCATTTCTGAACTAGGGCACAGCACAGGCATAGGTTCTCAAGGTCACCAGGAACGAGGGGTACGACTGGAGGGAATGAAGTCGGAGAGGACCAGGGGCCAGATCGTGCCTGACCTTACACGTAGGATAAACACTTGCTCACCTCCAACCCCGGGCCCATCAGGGTGTGAGCACTGGACTGAAATGAGGAGCAGAGAGAAGCAGGGAGACCAGCCACGAGCAAGGCAGGCTGCATAATCACTCTGGGCCTGTTTCCTCCGTGGTAAAGTGGGGATCGCCAAAACCTATCTCAGAGGGGAGGGTTGTGTGGGGCGTGTTTGTCAAGTGAACACGGTATGTGCGGCTTTGACCACTGTGGAGAGGTATGCAGTGACTGGATTTAGGATCATGTTTTCTAGGTAGGACGGATGGAGTTTGCTGATTGAATGTAGGGTGAGAAAGACAGACAAGGGTGCAGAGTGAGTCCAAGGATGCTGGCCAAAGCACGGGGGTGGAGCCCCTGTCCCCAAGCGGTAGGGGGGTGGATGCTGGAGGGAGGGAGCCAGGCTGCAGTGGCAAGGGATTCACACTAACACAGGGCATGGGGAAACCCACTGCCACCTTGCCTTGTTCTTGGTTAAGCATAAGAAAACTGACACCGTGTCCCTCTGCACTAGGATGGCAAAGGGCCACCCATGGGCCACCAGTGTTAGCAGCCGGTCAGAGCTCTGCCTCCATGGTGAGGAGCCCGAGTACCTCGGGAGCCCTTTGAGCCAAAGGACCGTGCCTCATCATCAATACAGAGTGGACACAATGTCACAGGACGCCCTGCTCCCCCGAGGGCTCCCCCGGGAACCAGTCCTGCTGGGCAGCAAGCAGGGACAGTTCCAGGTGCAGGGCAGAGACAGACCTAGCTGCCGGCGCTGCTGATCATTCTTCAGCGTGGCCAGGGGTGTCAGCCCCTCCGGCATGTGGTCGTAGAGCTGGGACAGGCACTGCTCCTGGTGGTCCTCATCGGCACCTCGATTCACTGCAACCAGAGCCACAGTCAGATCCCTGGAGGTGGTGCCGCCTCACCAGGCTTCTTCCTTCTGTGGTTGTACCATGCGCCTGGGGTACCAGACTCAGCCCAGGCAATCCAGCCCCAGTCTTTGCTCGCTGGGGCCAGCCACATGCCAGGGGCTCATGATTTGGCCCTGAGCCTCCTCCAAGTCACCCACCGCTGGGCCCTCCTAGCGCAGCCCTAAGCCTCTGCTGCCAGCCCTGCACAACTCCGGTGGCCTCCATGCCTAGGATGAGGCCTCACCTCTGCTTCACCCCACTTCCTGGAGCGCATCCTCTGAAGACGCCACCAGCCTCAACCCTGGGCCTCCTCTCCTGTGCTCAGGCGCTGCCACATTCCACATTCAGCTAGAAAAGCCTGGTGGCACATGCTTGACATTGCAGCCCTCTAGGAGGCTGAAGCAGGGGGTCTGCAAGTTCAAGCCCAGCCTAGGGAACTTAGTTAGTAAGACCCTGACTCAAAACATAAATAAATAAACAAATAAGCAAGTGAGTGAGTAAACGAACGGCTGGGGATGTAGCTCAGTGTGTAAGTCTTAAGTCTAATCCACAGTATCACAAAAGAAGAAGAAGAAAGAAAAAGCCAAACTCCTACGTTGCTGCCTCTGAAAAGCCATCCAGGTCTTCACGAACTGCTGCCTCATTTGTCTTGACAGCACTTACTGGGACACTGCTTTTCCATTAGTTCACCCCTAGAGGACCACACAACACTAGTACCAGCAGCTAACACCTCGAGCCTGCAACCCACAAGGCACGGTTTAGCTTTGCATACAGGTCCTCAGTTTCCACAAAAGCCCTGGGGTGGGTTTGCTTCCTATCTCCATTGTACAGGTGAGACAACTGGCACAGAGCAGCTAAGCAACCTGAATGAGATCACAGAGCCGCACAGTGGCAGAGCTGAGCTGCAGCCCTAAACAGCTGGCTATTTCTCTGGGGGCTGCCTTGATTAGCACTAATTACTACATCAAAAATCCCTCCTGAAGGGCTGAGGAAACAGTTCACTGGTATAGTATCTGCCTAGCATGCATGAGGCCCTGGATTCAAGCCCTGCCATAAAACTACACCAAACTAAATCAGAGTTTCTTGTTATACAGCATACGTATATTTTTTACAATTAAAATAAATAATAAAGTGGAAAAAATCTCACCTGACCACTTGATTAGAGCCAGCCCTTAGACTGAGGAAACTGAGGTACTTGCCTCAGAATCAATAATTAAAAGGGTAATGTGAATTCAATAAGTAAGATACGTAATATTTCAATGCAATTTTTTTTTTGGTACTGGTGATCCAACTCGGGTCCTTGCACTTGTGAGGCAGGCAGTGGAACCACTGACCTAAATCCCTGGCCCTCAATGCAACTTTTTCAATATCAAAATTAATGCCAAAAAATCCATGGTGAATTTCTCTTTTGCCTGAGGCTCTAACAGCTCAGCACAGATCTGTTTATGGTGATCCCTGCATTTATTTAAAAATTTAATCACAGATTTTTCCCCTTAATTTTATTCAAAATACAACCTTAACAGCCGGGCGTGATGGCGCATGCCTGTAATCCCAGCACTCAGGAGGCTGAGGCAGGAGGATCCCTGTGAGTTCGAGACCAGCCTGAGCTACATAATGAGTTCCGGGTCAGTCTCAACTACATAGTGAGACCCTGTCTCAAAAAACAAACAAACAAAGAAACAAAAATACAACCTTAGGGTTGGTGATGCAGCTCAGGGGTAGAGCACTTGTCTAGCATGGTCCAAGCCCTAAGGTACATCCCAGCACTGCTAAAAATAATAATAATAAAAAGGTCAACTACCACTTTAAAATGTTGCTTATCTTTTTTTTTTTTTTTTTTTAACGTTGCTTATCATGAGTACTGAGTTTCTGTTAGCCTTTAGAGTCTAGATTCCAGGTGAAAATTCATTTGCTGGATCCCAGACAGAACTAAACCGCTCCTTCTCCCTCCCACAGGAGCCTCTAACCCTCACTCTGTCAGGCTCAGGTGACTGCTGCCCGTCAACATGTCTTTCCCACTCTCTGCCTTCAGGCTGTGAGCACCTCCAGGGTAGGAAGGCAGCGCCCACCCACCTCAGAATCCCCACCATGCTGACCACCGCCCCACCACTACCCCCAAGCTCCAAGCCTCACACTGGTGGTCGATGAGGAAGATGGAGGTGAAGTAGTGAGCCAGGGCCGAGTAGTGGTGGGCCTTCACGCAGGCCAGGCTGGCCCAGGAGTAGGGGATGTTCTCCTTCACCGGCGCCTGACTCATGGCCACATGCAGCTGCTGGTAGACCTCTCCCACCTGAAACAGAAGGGGCCGTGGGAAGAGTGAGCCCAGTACAGGGGCTGCAAAAAAAAAAGAGCCCCTTCTTCCAGGCAGCAGCACCCCCTGCCAGAGGCCCCTCTGGAATCTGGGCACCACGCCAAGCGACTCCGCCTGCTGCCAGAGTCAGAGTTAACTGGGCAATCAGGCACCTGTCATTAGGCTGGTTTTTAGGCTAAGCTGCAGATGGAATCAACGATCCATATCTGAAGCACAGATGCTTGCCAAGAAGATGCGAGCCAGCAGCCTCGGGTAGGGTGGGCACATCGCCCAGGTGACAGGCAAGCTGCCACCATGGGAACCCCTCACTGCCCCCAGGATACCTACACCCTCATATCCCGCCCACCCCTAAAAGTCACAGCAACTAGGAAGCTTTACCTTGGCAGCCTCCTGCGCCACCTTCACTAGCGTGAGGAACTCGTTCCGGATCCCGGAGAGGCTGATTTTCTCAAACACACTTTCTTGGGCCTGAGCGAGCATCATTCTGACCAGCACACTGAGCATGGCGGGGCTCATGTCGTAACTCGGAGTATGAGTGAACGTCTCTTTCAGGTAGTTTAAAACCCCTGCAATTACAAGTTTTTTGTTCATAAATTGAGGATCATATGTATTTCACCATGATGCTATGGGCGGGGGGCTGTAGCTCAGTTGTAGAGCCCTTGCCTAGCATGCGTGAGGCCCTAGGCTTGAGCTCCAGCACTGCAAAACAAAACACACACATACACACGTATGTTATGATATCTGAGAGCATCTTTAAAAATGTAATTCTGAAATAGCATATTACCCAGCAATTCATCTCTGACATATATACCCAAAGAACTGAAAGCAGGGACATAACCGGAACACGTACATTCATGTTAATACTCACAGCACTAGTCACAAGAGCAAAAGGTAAAAACAACCAAATGCCCATCGCCGGATGAGTACGTAAGCATGCTAACGACACATGCAATCTTGTGGCCTTAAAAAGGAGTAAGGGACTAGAGGTGTGGTGCAGTCATCAGCACACACATGGCCCTGGGTTTCATCCCCAGCACCACAAAAAGAAGAAAACATTATTAAAAAAGGAATGGAATTTTGACACATGCCACAAGAGTGGAGATATTATTGTTACAAAAGGACAAATACTATATGATTCTATGTATTGAAGTACCTGGAAGAGTCAAATTCATAGAGACAGAGAGCAGAAGAGAGGTTACCAGGAGCTGGGGGAAGAAGAGAGGAAGTGGTTGTTTAACAGGTACAGTGTTTGGGTGTGGTGGTGTCACTAAATCGTACAGTTAAAAACGGTTAAAACTGCTGGGCATGGGGCACACACCTGTAATCCCAGCACGTTAGGACGGTGAGACAGGAAGACTACAAGTTCAAGCCTTGCCTGGACCACGTAGCAAGACTGTCTCAAAATTTTTTAAAAATTAAGAAGGGCTGATGATACTGCTCAGTGCAAAGGCCCTGGGTGCAATCCCCAGCACTACACACAAAAAATAAGTACATAAATAAATATTATCTTACATATATTTCACAACAATAAAATAATGTTTAAAATGATGAAATTCTATAATATATATTTAAAATGTGAATTTTACTCAAAAACATTTACATCTACAGCAACCAAGGACCGCAGCTGGCTCCTCTCTGCTCCCGTCTCCCCTGGGACAGATGTGAGAAATCTCATCAGTGACCAGGCATGAGACAGAGGTGAAAGCCAAAAGCAGGTTGGAATGAGTGAGGGAGGCCGGGGACACAGTCACCCAGGAAACCTGGGTCACTCAGATGCTGCTTTCCCCCACCCCTCAGGGAAGAACAGCACAATCCATTCCCATGGATGAGTTCATGCTGCAGCCCCCAGATGAGTTTCCCATACTTTAGAAAATTAACTGTGTGGAGCACTGACTGACAGTCAAGCTACACCTAGAACAGGCTCTGCCCCGTGAACCCCAACCAACCAGTTCCTCTGGTTTTGCTACCCCCACAGAAAGATGGCACTTGCTTCTGGCTGGCTGCTCCCCTCTAGGCGTCCCCACATTCCCCGCTGCTCTCCATCTTCCTTCTGTCTACCTCTGACATTCTGTAGCTAGATCTCAAAGTATACCCACAGAAAGAGTCTGCAGAAAGAAAGATAAGTCCAGAAGTCTTCCAGTAGAAGAAATGGGATGCCCCAGCATTTGGGAAGCTGAGGGAGGAGGAGCTCTAGTTCAAAGTCAGTCTAGGATATAAGCCAGACTTTGTCTCAAAAAACCGAAGAAAGAAAAAAGCAATGGCATCTAAATGGGATCTTAGCATATCATTTCATCCAAGGGATCAATCATTTTAACGCAAGAAATTCCACAATGACAAAGCATAGGCTTGCAAAACAACATGAGTACCAGATAGGTTCTTTCTTAGGAGAAAAGAAGGGAAGTCACTACACTGCAGAGCAGAATGGGGAGGATCAGTGCAGAGGCCGGAAGGCTGTGGAGCCAGCTTCAGCGTCACCACTCACCACACTGACTCCGCCCTAGACACAAGCCCTGCTAGAAGGGAGCAGCGCAGACCCCTCAGTCACACCCACGGCATGCCAGGCTCTCCCTGCACCAGGTCCGCACCCCACTCTGTGGGCTGGCACTAAGCTGGCTTTCTTCACCTTGCATCTGGTTCACTGTCAACACTTTTAGGGATGACTGGCTGGGAAAAGAGGTTAAAATGGGAAAGACATTTAGAAACCCCAGAAGAGGCTCACAGAACCCTGAGGTGTCCCTACATATCACCAGGCTGGGAACAGGGGACTTGAATGAGTATCAAATAAAGGCACAAAGAGGAACACAGTAGTCCCCTTTATCTGAGGTTTCGCTTTCCTTGGTTTCAGTTAACCTTGGTCCAAAAATACTAAATGAAGCCAGGGGTGGTGGCGCACACTTGTAATTCCAGCACTCTGGGAGGCTGCAGCAGGAGGACTGAAGTTTGAGCCCAGCCTGGGCAACTTAGTGAGACCCTGTCTCAAAATACAAAAGGTCTGGCAATGCTCATTAAAAAGTCCCTCAGTTCAATCCCCAGGGAGAAAAGAAGGAAGGAGGGAGGGAGGGGAAAGAAAGAAGTGTATTTTTATAACTGTTCTATTTTATCATTAGTTATTGTTGTTAATTTCTTACTGTGTCTAATCTATAAATAAGACTTTATATTAGGAATGCTCACATATGGAAAAACATAATACACACACACACACACACACACACACACACACACACAGAGTCCAGTACTGTCCCCAGTTTTAGGCATCCACTGGGGGTCTCGGAACCTGTCCCCAGGGATAAGGGGGACTATAAAATCATTGATAAGATAAACTAAAAGTCACATTTCCACAGTTTTGGAGAAGTTATTCCATGCCTCGTAAAGTGGTGAAAGGAGCAGCTCTTCCTGGCATCTTGGGAGCCATTCATTTGATTAACTGTCAACCACAGGCTTCACTGTGTGTGTGAGCCACACCAGACCAAACCCTCATAGCTTGAACCATCAATCAAGTCAGCTGACGGGAAGTTACACCAGTGCTGGAAATGGACCTGGCCCTTTCCAGCTTTCAAGGCCAAGTGTGGGTCTGTGACCCTCTGCTGGCAGAGGCCAGGCTGCATCTAGCAGCCCCAGCAGGGACTCACCTGCAGCCCTCTGGAAGGCGTCCACGGCACTCTCCAGCCCAGCTTGGGTCTGCCGATTGCACCGGGTCCCAATCTGGGTATAGAGAGCTCCGATGTTGAACAGGATGCTGGCCTTCTCCAGCAGCAAGTTCTGTTGGCTGACCGGAACCCCGGTGAGGGAGTCATACCTATTCAAAAGAAATGTGTTCTGAGAATACAGGTTATTCTGCTACTTAATGCTAATTTGGGTGGACATGGGCAAAATTTATTTTTTATTTTTATTTTTTGAGAGAGGGACTTGCTATCTAACTAAGGCTTCAAACTCACAGCAATCCTCCTGCCTCAGTCTCCCAAGTGCTGGGATTACAGGCGTGCACCACCATGCCCAACTCAAAATTTATTTCTTAAATCCAAAATATGCATGCAATGAGACTTTTGTTGCCAAGCAAGATCAGGTCTAATCAGTCTGATTAAAGACAGTTACACACAGAAATAAGGCCTCTCAGCTGGGTATTCTGGTGCACACCTGTAATCCCAGCACTCTGGGAGGCTGAGTCAAGAAGATCTTAAATTTCATCACAGCATGGACAACTGTGACACTTTAATAAGAACCTAACTCAAAATTAAAAATTTTAAAAAGGGGACCAAGGATTTAGCTCAGTGGTTCTATCACCTGCCTCACAAGCGCAAGGACCTGAGTTCCATCCCCGGTACAAAAAAAGAAAAAAAAAGGAAAAGTGAAAAAGGGGTGGGGGGATATAGTTTGGTGCAAAGGCCCTAAGTTCAATCCTTCATCTTGGAAAAAAAAAAAAAGACCTCTTAACCAAGATGTCCCTCAGCAGGTGAATGGAGAAACAAACTATGGTACATCCAGATGATGGAATATAAGTCAGCACTAAAAAGAAATGATCTGGCAAACCATGAAAAGGCTTGGAGAAAGCAAATGTTAACACTGAGTGAAAAAAGACTGTCAACTGTCTGACTCCCACCACGTAATGTTCTAAAAAAGGCAATGCTATGGAGACAGTGAAAAGATCAGTGGTTGCTGGGAGTTGAAGAGGAGAGGACAAAGAGGATAGGAAGGGCAGTGAAACCCTTCTGCATGTACTGCAACAGGGGAGGCGGGTCCTTTCGCATTCATCAATACCCAGAGAGTATGTGACACCCAGAGGAAACCTAGCATAAACTGTGGTCTCTGGGTGATCAAGGTGTGTCAGGGTGTGTTCCCTGTGACAAGCAAAGCTTGGTGGTGGCAATGTTAACACAGGGGGTCCCTGAGCATAGACGGGGAGAGCGGGGGTTGGAAACTCTCCACGCCTTTTGTTCATTTGGCTATGAACCAATACTGCTTTTAAAAAAGAATGCTTATTTTTTCACTTCAGTTTTTAAAGTCTATGTTTGCTGTACCTTTTCCACTGGCACAAAACCCAATTCCCACTCATATCCTACAGCCCTGTCCCATCTAGGGGGGAATCTTGCTGCCCACTGGCTCAACTTCAGCACTCCAGTACTTCCCCAAAGTCATAATGAGTCTCCCCACAAAAACACCTTCTTCTCCGTGGCCCCCTTTCTCTAAGATGCAAGCAGCCAGTCTAGCTGAGCCTTATTTACGGCTTCCACCATAATATCCATCTGTTGACACACCCCACGCCAGGGAGACTGCTGTATAAACACCAGAGGCAGAAAGAGGGGACTGCTGCACAGGAGAAGGAACTGTGACAGGGAAAGCACCTGTGCAGACCTCATGCACCTACCAGGTAAACAAGAGCCCCATCTGGCAGGTGGGTGGGAAGAATCGGCTCTCTACAAACCCCAGCTGGGTGAAGTAGCCCATCAGCAGCTCAACCCCGGCCTCATCCCGGCTGGGTGTCCGACAAGCCTGGAGGGAAGGATGGACAAAAGAGTGAGCAGGTGAGGACGCAGGAGCTGCTCACTACTTCTCAGCTCTGTGGGCTCCGGGCCCGATAACATGAACTCAGCAGGAGTGCAAGAGAGAAGTCAGGGATCCCGGAATCCATCCCCAGGTGTCTCCCCTTCTATGGTTTTCTTAGAAAATGGGTGATTCCATCTCGTCACCTCCAACCGTCCTCCACCCTCTAGGACCACAAGTGTCCCGAGGACTTGACAAGGAGCAGCAGCCATCCCTCCAGCTCTGATGCACAGAGAACTTACCTGCCTCAGATCCATTAGATCTGCGATTTCATCTTCATATAAATAGCCATCTTCACTGTAATGTTCCAGGATAAAATCCTTGAAGAAAAATGATCAGATACTGTAAGATATAATTCAAGAGTCCAGTGGTGCAGCTGCCAGAGTACCTGCTCTACATGCATGGGGCCCTGGGTTCCAGCCCGAGCACCAAAAAACAAAACCAAACAAAAGGAAAGAAAGAAAAAGAAAATATAATTTAAAATCACAAATCTGGGCGTAGTGACACACATCTGTAATCCCAATACTCTGGGAGGCTGAGGCAGGGAACTCCAGCCTGGACAACTTAGTAAGACCCTATGTCACAAATAAAAATTAAAATAAAAGGAGGGGGATGTTGGTGGAAGAGCCTGTCAGTTACATTTTCCTAGGTGTTTGTGTATATTCACTTTACACTTTGCACTTTAAAACACCTCCTGCTTTTGGTGTCAATCAGTGCGAGTGCACACACACACACACACACACACACACACAAATGACTACGTATTGAATACAACAGCTATGCCTTTTTCTAAACTTGGCAATGTATCAAATGTTTTCATATGCCATAAAATATTCTATAACATGACACTCAGTGTTCTAAAATCCTTCAATGTAACAAGTACACAATTCGTGTATTCAACAAAGAAACTGAGCACCCGCCATGTGTTAGTCAGTTAACAGTAACAAGGTTTTACTTAGCTTCCACTTGATAAGATACCAGAATTGTTTCCCAGATTTTACAACGAAAGAATACCTTGACAGTCATTCTTGTGTACACCTCTGATGAATTCTAAAATAAATCCCTAACAGATAGCCTGGTGAGTCAAAGGAAATGCAATTTCCTTATATTTTAATTTTAAAACAAATTTTGATTTGGTTATTTTTAGACAACTCCAGTGAGGCTCTGCTGCCCAGACTGGGCTCTTAACTCCACGCTTAAGCCATCTCCACAAGCAGGTGCCACCGCCCTGACTCACTTTTCCTGCTATTTTATATTATCATAGTTTTTCTTCTTCACTCTAAGTGATGACCGGCATCAGCTCCTCTACTAATACAATGGCCCCTTGTAAAATTAGCAATGGTTTTCAAACACTGTATGATCAATGTGGCTAGCAAAGGTGAGGATGGCCAGCAGGACAGCATTGATCTTGGGCTCCCCACTGACAACCCCCCCCTCCCCCCGCAGCCCAGGGCTAAGGCATCACAGCAGGGAGACAGCAGGAAGGAGGCAGAAGGGTGGCTGACCGGAATTTCCGGGGTTGTTATTATTATTACAGTGTCATGGGCAGAGTTAAGGAAAACCACAGGGATAGTGCTCTCTGACCCATTAGAATACAGACTCCATCTGAGGGTATAGCTTAGAAGGAGGGAAAGCAGTGCCCAAGGCCCCAGGCAGGATCCCAAAGTACAAAACAAAAAGTAACAATAATAATTGAACCCCAGTGGCTAGAAGGCCCAGAGAGAGAAGCATCTTAGGAACCCCAGAGAGGTGGCTACCTAGGTATGCATCCAATAGTCCCCAGTGGGAGACCCTAAAGAATGCAAAGGGCAGCTGGAGGAGTCCAGGAACCCAGGGCTTCCCTCTCTGCCCGCCAGCAGGTGCCCTGCTGCTCCTCCTCCTGGGCCACACTGAATAGGAAGCCACAGTGGGAGTCTATAGATGCCTGCCCCGAAGGGTATAGGAGAGGGGTAGAAAAGACACTTAAGGGACCCGTCCAGGAAAAGATTGCGATGGCCAGGGATCAAATATAATCCTGAGCAAGTTACAAAGCTCTGTAGGGAGGGTTTTTTACATGTCTTCTTCGTATTTTCTGAATATTCTGCACTAATATTTTCTGGGGTTTGTTTCTCTTTTTTGATCTTTTGAAATAGGATTTTGCTATGTACGTAGTTCAAGCTGCCTTAAACTCATGATCCTCTAGCTTCAGCCTCCCAAGTGCTAGGATTACTGGTGTGCAGCACCTAGCTTGAAAAGGAATCCATTTTTTTTTTTGGTGCCAGAGATCAAACTCACTCAGGTCCTCGTGCTTGCAAGGCAGGCAGCGGAACCACTGAGCTAAATTCCCGGCCCCTAAGGAATCCATTTTGATGGTGCTTTCTGGTTTTGTTTTGAGGTGCTAAGAATGGAACCTAGGACCATACCCATGCTAGGTAAGTAAGTGCTTTACCAGGAAGCTACATGACCAGCCCTGATGGTGATTTTTAATGTGACTATTTAAACCTCATTTCAGTAGCACCCACCTGTAATCAGTCAGAGGCAGTATAGTGAATTCAGAGCCAGCCTAGCAGTCAGAGGCAGTATAGTGAGTTCAGAGCCAGCCTAGACTACATAGGAAGATCCTGTCTCAAGAAACCAAATAAATACACAAACAAAACCGATTTCTTTAAAATAGAACAAAGTCATCCCACGAAGCTATCCTGACCTTAAACAACCCATAGAACTCCCAACTCCCCCCACAGGACCCCTTTTCTGGTACCTGTATTTCTCTCAAGCACAAATATGGAAAATATAAAGTGCCCAACATTCCTATTTTGGGATGACAGACCTCTGCAGAGTCCCTTTTAGGCTGAAATGACATGGTCAGAAGCCATGGCTGAACAGCAGTTAGCCATGCCCACAACGTGGCTTTTTATTTTCTTCCTGCTTACTGTGGAATTCAGCATGTGACCTATTTGGATCCTTACAGATACCCATAAAATTCCCAAGTTTCTTCAACAGAATCCTTTAAAATGCCTGCATTGCTGTAGCTCTGGCACCAAGCAACAGACAAATTAAATCTTAAAGAAAAGACTATAAATAACACAACTAAAGGCATTCCTACAAATACATGGATTGTCTCAAATCCCACTAATCAGTGACAAGTTACACTGAAAAGCTCAGAAGCTAGCATAACGCTGCTGTCTCTGAAATGTGAAAGAAAGGAAGAAAGGAGGGAAGGAAGGAACGAAGGAAGGAAGGAACGAAGGAAGGAACGAAGGAAGGAAGGAAGGGGAAAGGGGGGAGAAAGAAGGGATGGAGGGAGGGGAGGGAAGGGAGAAAGAAAAGAAAGAAAGGATTTTTACCCAGAAAATCAACTCTCTTGTAAACCTGAGTCCTGAAACACTACCAACTGCCCTTCTCCCATTCCAGCCGAACCTCCGACTTCCAGGTGGGGTCTGTCATCTAGATTTAAACAAAACAGCAGAAGAAGCCTCGGAAAGGGGAACTGACTCAGTGCAAATGCTTTCAAAGGTTTAATTGCTTTTCCCTCCCAGTAACAGTGGCTGAACCCAGGGCCTTCACACTGAGCTACATCCCTCGGCCTTTTTTTCTTTTTTTTTCTGAGACAGGGTCTCAAGAAATTGCCTAGGCTGGGTTTCAACTGGCAATCCTCCTACCTCAGCTTTCCAGAATGCTGGGATTACAGGAATGTATCACCACACCCAGGTTCCAACTGCTTTTATTTATTTTTATATTTTTGGTACCAGGGATCAAACTTGGGACCTTCTGCATTCTAGGCAGGCAGCAGAATCACTGAGCTAAATCCCCAGCCCCTCCAACTGCTCTTTTAACAGATTAATTTTATAGTGGTCAAAATGCCATATGATAATTTTTTTTTCTTTCCTCAATTTAAAATGGTCTGACATGAGTCACTGAACAGGATTACTAGGAAATGTAATTCTTTGAAGCATTTCTCACCATGCCAGGATTCTTATCTCTGGGCCTATGCTGTTAAAACTCAGAGACAGGCACCACCTTCCCCCCCATTTTCTTAATCTCCTCTTAAATGGCATCTAGAAGTGACTCATTATATATCTCAAACTAATGACAGGCCTGGGAGTGTGGCTCAGTGGTAGAGCACAGGCTTAGCATGCACAAGGTCTTGAGTTCGAGCCTCAGTCCAAAAGAAAAAAACAACCCAAACCTAAAATTGATTGAGGAAGGTGGGCAGAGGGTTGGAACATTCTTCCGGGAATACAGCCTCTCTTGTGAGCTTCCACCAAGTCCCTGTCTATCTGTGGTTCCACTCAGGCACAGGACACAATCTGTGGCATTTCCAGCACCCAACACAATGCCAGGCACAGGAAGACCTCTAAGTATCTGCTAAATGACAGAGGTGCTCAGACACCCAGGAATTATATAGGGGAGAAAACAAACCCAAAACTCTAGTTATTCAAGTGCTGAAGGGTAGTAAGTTGACATCTCTGATATACTTTTAAATGTGTCACAAAGTCAGATGGACTGATATATAGAAACAAGGATGTATAAATGGACAGATATCCAATAAAGCAAGATGTCTCAGGTATATTGTGATAAAACACATGGTATATGGTGTTAACAGTAGAATCTATATAGTGATATTTAGGGTTTCGTTATAAAAGTCTTCCCATTTTCCCATAAACTCAGAATTTTTCCATAATAGAATGTTTGGGAAAAAAACTTGAGATGGCCTTTCAAAAAAAAAAGGCCTAAACTTCTTACACAATTTTAAGAATAAAGATACTAATATAATAGGGTACAATTGTTAAATTCCAAGGCACACCTGCACAGACCATTTCACTCAACTCCCAAGGAATCCTGGGACTCCAACCCTCCTTCCCCAGGCCAACATGAGGAACTTCGGGGCTGCAGGTCAAGAGAGGGCTCAGAGTCACCCTGCAGACACCAAGTGACCCTTGGCACGCACAGCCTAGAGGGACTGCATGGAACACACAAGTCCTCCATTTCCACTTTAAACTGAGCCCAGGACCCAGTGCTTAGAGATTTACCTTGAGGATGACTGAAAAGTCAACGTCTTTGGTCTCCTTCAGGCCAAGAGGAATCAAGGGAATCATAAATGCCTCCCTACAAGGAACACAACAAGGTATTTGAGCACCCCAACCCGGCCACTGTGTGCCCTATGGCCTTGCCCCAGCAGCCCAGCCTGCGACCCCACCCCTCTCCTTGGGCCAGTCCAGCACACTCCTGGATGACAGGCTGGCATTCTACAAAGACAACTCCAGATCGCTGTGATAGCTGAATGCCCCAGCCTCATACACTATCCAGTCGTGTGCCAGCTCTCCACACGCTGTCCATACACTTGCCAGCTCTCCAGTCGCGTGCACCTTGCAGCCAGTGAGCCGAGAATCCAAGTGCGCCAGGCCTATGTCTGGGGTGCTCACTGCCTCCTGACCTGCCCTGAGTTTGCTACCTACTACACTGGGCCTCCTACTGGTCCTCAACCCTCCCCGTCTCCTCCATCACAGTGGGTCTCACCAATCCAATACCCATCCCCCAGAGCACAAGCCTGGGCTCTTAGATGCTTTGTTTTTTGGGCACATCCTACCAGGTGTCCCCTTACCTGTTCAGGGAACGCCCACCAGACACCTCAGTACACCCAGCTCCCAGCCCAGGGCCAGACTCATCCACTACTTGATCTCCACTCCCAGCACCTCCCACTGACCACTGGGGCACCCCACAGGCTGCCCTGAGAGTGCTCCCTGAACCCACATTCCTAAGGGCAGGGCCAGCAGGAAGTGGAATGATGCAGCCTATGTTTTGCAAAGAGGGATTTAGCTCCCCCACCTGTAACAGGAGCCCTCCAGCCCAGCCCAGAGACAAGGCCAGGAATGCTGGGCACGGTAAGTGGACAATGGGGCTTAAATGCAGGTGTGACATGGCCCAGGTATGCAGCTTCCCCAAAGCCTGCCAGGAAGGCTAGACTCTGGCGGAAGGACCCGAGGGCAGGCCAGGCCTTGCTCTTCCAGGCACCAGTGCCATCCTTCCTTAGGCCACATGGAGCTGGAGGCGTGCGTGCTCTGCTCTTCCCACGATGCCCAGGCAAGAAGAGGGACGACAGGTGTCCCGAGGCCCAGCCTCAGGGCACGGAGCCTTAGTGTGGCACTAAGTTTCTCATCTGCACAGTGAGACCATTTCTTCCCTACATGCCTCATAGAAGTATTTAAAGATCTACAATACCAGGAAGGAAAAAACATTTTTAAAAAATTATTTTTCTTTTTTTGCGGGGGAGCACCTAAGAAGAGAGAAGCAAGAGGAAGGCACAAAGTTGCCTAGAAATCACAAAACAGTGTCTATCCCACTGAGTGACAGCTGTCACTGGTATATTACCAAGGCAAGGATGCAATCAAGGTTTTCTCTCAGCACCAGCTATCAAATCCTGGCCTCCTGCCTAGGGGAGGACCTGTGGAAGCACTAAGAAAAGAAATGGCCTTGCAAATGCTTGCAATGGAGGATGCAAGCTCAAGGCACCCATCTGCCCTCTCCTCCATGACACAGGGGAGTGACTGAGGCCATCCCAGAGCCACAGTGGCCACACCGCGGGCCTTGAGTGCAGGGCTCGGGGGAAACCCCCACGATGGACACCCTTGCTGTGTAACACAGAAAACGTGAGTGTGAAACAGCCTCCATTTACTACCAAGGTTCACTTGCCCGGCCTCTGCAAGGAACTGGCCTTTTTGGGCAAGCAGTAGAATTTAACACCCATGTCTAGGCCAGGAGAACCTTCTGTGTATTGTTGCTGACCAGGCTTTCAAACTGCACTGGGGGCCCACAGGGGAGGTGGCCAGGCACACAGAGGAAGGCCCAGAGGGGATGCAGGCTTCGAAAAGCCAGGGGCCCTGCGGAGGCTTAAGATTGGGAAGTGCACATTCCAAGGTAACTCCAAGTCCCCAAATGTTTTCCTTCCAGGGAACTATTTTGCTCTCGAGTTTTCCATGGAGCCCACCCACTTTTTGACAACCTCCCTCCCCTGAAAAAAAAAAAAACATAAACCTTTTTTGGAGTTATGTCTTCTTAAACAGAGGCTTCCACTACCTCCAAAAAAGGTAGCTCATCCAGAGTGGAGGACTTTCTGGGATTTTTCAGACAGCCACACCTCAATATTCCACCACCCACAAACACTCCCTAAAGAATGATTCTGAAGAACATTCATTTCTCAAATATTTAACAGGATACATTTCTGAAGTGTCACCATTGCACTGTCTTCTTGCAGACTTGGGTTGCTGCCCTAATCTTTGTTGTAAAATACTCCTATTAAGGTAGTTTCGACTCTGTTGCATTTTATCAAGGTGAAGACCCAAGGGCAGGCCCTGTGCTTGGTACAGGGCTGAGGGGACACGGCCAGGTCACATGGGCCCCATCTGGAAGGTGGGCTCTCTCAGCTACCCAGACAGGTGCTCTCAGGGCATCTCTCCTCAGAACCACCATGCAGCCACGTGAGAGATTCCACCTCCCCGCTAGACCCAGACACACATCTCTCTGTAAAGCACATCCCAAGGGGCCCCCAGGACAAATGTCTTTTTGTCCAGCAATCCAATGCCACAGGCTCATCCCTTTAACCTGGCACTCGGCTCAAGTCCAGGTCCTATCACTGTCTCACTTCCAGGACGCAGTAGGGGCTGCCAGCCTCTCCGTGTACCCCCCTCGGAGGTGGGCAGTTCCCACACTGCCCACTTACTCTGCACTCTGGTACACTCCCACGGAGATGTTGAGCCCTTCCAGCTCCTCCTTGAGCATCTGCAGGTCGGAGTTGAGGAAACTCAGCTCCAGGCGCACCTGTTCCCGCACCTTCTGGTTTGTGGCAACTCTGTTCAAAGAGAAGGAGAGAAGAGGCCTCAGGCAAGCATCCCAGCTCTCAGTCAAGCAGACCCAGCCCTGATCCCTGCTCAGGGCCACCTGCAGCTGAGAGCCAGATGCGATCAGATAAGGAGTCTCTGAGATCCTGGGCACCTGCCCCATCATAAGCCACAACTGCTGACAAAGGGACTTGCAGATGGAGCCAACGACACTGTGAGCTTACACACGTGGATCCTAAGGTACCTGCAAAGCAAGCATCTTGAGAAAAGACTGCGTCCTGTCACTCCCTAAAAGACCATAAATGATCTCCTTAAAAGGACATAGGTAAGCCAACAAGCTCAGGGGCACATGCCTATAATTCCCACTCCTTGGGAGGCTGAGGTGGAAGGCTCTTTGGGGCCCAAAAGTTCAAGAACAGCCTGGGCAACAAAGTCAGACCATTGCCAGGCATGATGGAGATGCCTATAATCCCAGCTCTCGGGAGGCTATGGCAAGACAACCATTGTGAGCTGGAGGCCAGCCTGAGCTATACAATGAAACCCTGCCTCAAAAAGTTAAAACAAAAAACAAACAAATAAAAAAACAAGTATGACCATTGTTTCAATGGAAGTATACAGGAGGGGTAGACAAAAATTCTCAACAAACAAGGTATAAAAGAGAATTTACAGGGCCGGGGATTTGGCTCAGTGGTTCTGCTGCCTGCCTCACAAATGAAAGGACCAGAGTTCGATCCCCAGTACCACAGAGAGAGGGAGAGAGGGAGACAACTAACTTCATACTTACTAGTGAAAGACTGGCTATTTTCCCCATTTGAACGAGGCAACCAAGTCTGCTTTCGCCGCTTCTTTTTGTAGGTTTGTTTTGTTTTTTTTGGTACAGGAATTGAACTCGGGACCTTGCGCTTTTGAGGCAGGCGGCAGCACCACTGAGCTAAATCCCCAGCCCCTGGGGAAAGCTCTGTAGTTGTTTTTACGTACTGGGTGTTAGGGAATTGATCATGTTAAAGTATGCTGTGACGTCGCCTCACAGGCTGCATTCTCCTGATACATCTTGGCTCCTAAAATGACCTCATGCCCTTATCTTTGGTTTCCCTCCCCGCCAAGGCCACAGTGGTCCAGGAAAGTTGAAACCTATGTCTGCAGGACTGGGCCCATAAAAGCAATCTGGCCTGTGATAGGTTAAAAGTAGCTCACTCCTCATAAATAAGCAATAGCCCATCCCAAAACTGATAAAAGGACCTTCCTTTCTTTGTTCTTCTCTCTCCTTCTGCTTCTTCCTCCTCCCCCACCCCTCGCTCTGCCTTCCTGCCTCCTGTTCGCCTCCCTACAATAAAGATCTCCTGCTGGACCTCTCGGTGCGTGAGTGGCCTAATTGGGAAGGTGCACCCGAAAGGACATGCGAACCCCCTTTCACTGGGGATTGAACCCAGAGCTTTCACAATGAGCTACATCCCAGCCCTTTTTCTTGTTTGTTTGGGTTTTTTTGTTTTTTTTTTTTTCTGGTACCAGGGATTGACCTCAGGACCTTGTGCTCACTCACAAGGCAGGTACAGCACCACTGAGCTATGTCCCCAGCCTCTTTATTTTTTCTTTGAGACAGAGTATTACTAAGTTGCCCAGTCTGAACTCGAACTTGCAATCCACCTACTTCAGCCTCCCAAAATGCTGAGGTTGCAGGTGTGTGCCACCACCCCTGGTACTTCTAATCCATACTGTACTGGGATGCAAATAAAGAAATTAAAGGCACCCAGATTGGAAAGGAAGAAATAAAACCGTCTTTATTCACAGATGGCTTTTTCTTTTGGGGGAGGGGGTAGTTTGGGTTTTTATTAGCACATTTGCAGGATATAATGGTAATTCCTTGTGAAGAGTTATCTTATACAGTATGTAGAAAATCCCAAGGCAAAACAAATGAACCAATACATTTAGCAAGGACACAGGGTACAATCAGTATAAAGAAATTGGGGGTAGGGGTATGTATGGCTCAGTGGGTATGATCTCCAGCACTAAAAAGAAAAAGGTGAAAAAATACACATAAATTACTTCCAACTGGGCATGGTGGCACATGCCTATAATCTCAGGACTCTAGGAGGCTAAGGTGGGAGGATTCCAAGTTTCATCCCAGCCTGGTAAATTTTGTGAGTCCCTGACACAATATAAAAAATGAAAAACAAAGCCGGGCGTGGTGGCGCACACCCATAATCCCAGTGCTCAGGAGGCTGAGGCAGGAGGATCACTATGAGTTCAAGACCAGCCTGGGCTACATAGTGAGTTCCAGGTCAGTCTCAACTACATACTGAAACCCTGTCTCCAAAAAAAAAAAAAAAAAAAAAATGAAAAACAAGCTAGGGATGTCAATGTGAAGTCCCTCGATTCAAACTACTAAAAAAATAAATAAAAAATTTATTTCTGTATATTAGCACTGAACAATCTTAAACTGAAATTGAGAAAACCATTTCATTCACAAAAGTATCAAAAATAATAAAGCACTCAGGAATAAATTTAGCAAAAGTAATAAAAGCTTTGTACCTTGAAAACTATAAAACAGTGCTCAGATGTTAAATGGAGAGCTATTCCATGTTAAAAGATTAGAAGACTCATTACAGTCAAAATGCCGAGTCTCCCTAGTTGCTTTAATAATTCAATGAAATCCCAATTAAAATCCCATAAGCTTCGTAGGAGAAATTGACAAATGAATCCTAAAATTTATATGGAGATGCAAGGAACACAGAATAGCCAGATTATTTTGGAAAAAAAAAAAAAAGACCAAATTTAAAGGAGTTCTAATATTTGATTTTAAAACTTACTGCAAAGCCACAGTAATCAAGACAGAATAGATCAGACAATGGAACAGAATCCAGAAACAAATCTTTATATTTAGGGTTAACTGAATTTGACAACAAATGGTGCAACAAATGGTCCAACATTCAGAGGCTTGCCAGGGTTTCCAAGATCACCCCTAGTTCACTAACTCAACAGGAGGACTCTCAGGACTCACGGCTTTGACTCATCAGAGCTAAAAGACACAAACAAGACAGGCACAGCAGCTCACACCTACAATTCTAGCACTCAGGAAAACTGAAGCAGGAGGGTCTCAAGGTCAGCCTAATCTGGACAACTTGACTTAATGAGACCCTGTCTCAAAAGAAAAAAATAAAATAAAAAGGACTGAGAATGTAGCTCAAGGTGAAGTCCCTGTGTTCAAACTCTAGTACTGAAGAAAAAAAGAAAGAAAAGAAAAAGGATACAAAGTCAGCAAAGGAATAGGCCCAACAGGATGGGTTATCAAGAAAGCCAGGCACAGGCTTCTAAGAGTTTTTTCCCAATGAAGTCAGATGGAATATGCTTAATTCCTCCAGCAACCAATTATGTTCAATATCACCTACCAAGGAAGCTCATTAGAGATACAGAACTTTTACTGGGGGCTAATCAGGGAAGCACCTCTGCTTAGCAAAACTCCAAAATGCCAGGTTCCCAGAAGGAAATCAGGCAGCTCAGCATAAACCACATCACTTGTAGAAACAGGTTAGGCACAATAAGCTCACTTGCCAGTCTGGAAAAGAGGAACCTGCTAAAGTCTATGTTTCCAGACTTTAGCCATGGGCCAGCCTTGCAAGCAGGTCTTCCTTCCCAAGGATGACATTCTTAGGCCTGCTGTGTGAATTTTTTTCTTCACAAAGGACAAAGAATTCACCTCAATCTAAATCTCATACCATATACAAATATCAAAATGGGTCAAACATCACAATAAGAAGTACACCTCTAAAACTTCTAGAAGAAAATACAGGCTGAGTGTGGTGGCACATGCCTGTGACACCATTACTGGGTAGGTAGAGGTAGGACGATCATGAGTTCAAGGCCAACTTGAACTACACAGTGAATTCAAAGCCAGTCCAACTGGGCAAAGAATTTTTAGCTACATACCAAAAGCATAATCCATAAGAGAAAAAACTGATAAATTGGTCACTGTCAAATTTTAAAACTTCTGCACTTCAGAAGACACCATAAGAAAATGAAGAGAAAAAACACATTAACTCAGTGGTAAAATATGGGTTCAGCCTATGTGAATACCTGGATTTAACCCATAGCACAGAAGGAAGGAAGAAAGGTAGACAGGCAGGCAGGCAGGCAGGGCGGACATAGACTGAGAGAAAATATTTGCAAATTATATACCTGGCAATTTGTATGCAGAATATATAAGGAATTCTGTTAATTAAATAAGTAAAAAGATAATTCAGGGTTGTTTTTTTTTTTAAATCAGCAAAAGAGGACCAGGGATTTAGCTCAGTGGTTCTACCACCTGCTTTGCAAGCACAAGGTCCTGAGTTCGATCCCCAGTACCCCCCCAAAAAAAATCAGCAAAAGATCTGATAGACATTTTATCAAACATACATGAATAGATAAAAGTATATAAAAACAATACTCAATATCAGCAGAAAAATTTAAATTAAAACCATGATGAGATACCAATGCACCAGCAGACCCACTAGATTGGCAATATTAAAATATGATACCAATGTGGGCTGCAGATTTAGCTTGGTGGTACCATGCCTGCATTACAAAGGCAAGGTTTGATCCCTAGTACCAAAAAAAAAAAAAAAAAAAAAGATACTAACGAGTGTTAGTGAGGACACTGGAGAAACTGGAATCTTCATATACTGCTGGTTGGAAACCAAAGAGCCACTTGGGAAAACAGTTTTCTGTTTAACATTTCTAAAAATGTTAAACTTACAAAATAACCTAGAAATTCCACTCCAAGAAATCTATATGAGACAGAAAATATGCGCACCTAGAGATATGCATACGAATGTTCACAGTAGCCAAAAAAGTAGAAACAATCCAAATGTCCATTACCTGATAGAAGTGCGACACTCACAAGGTACACTCACGGGATAATAGTCTTCAAGAGCACAGAGCAACAAACTCTACCCAAGTTTTCAAGCAGAGGCTTTGACATCAACTCAGAGATGTCCTTCATTTCACAGATGAGAAATCACAACAAAAATAGCAA